CATCATCTGAGCACTAACCAACATCACTACGATCCTTTTTTTTTCTTCTTTTTTTCTATTCTCCATCATATTACAAATAGACGTCGTCAATTAATGAATTGAAGAAGATATATAGTCTTCGAGTTCCTACATATGATGGCCGGACGAGGGCAAGAGGATAGAGAGAGAGAGAGAGAGAGAGAGCGAGAGAAAAAATTTGAATTGAAAAAAGAGAGAGAGGAGAAAAAAACGAACTTCGTTTACTTCTTTAATTACAATTCACATTAGCGAAACATATGCGTAGCTCATATGTAGAATCTATTCGAGATTGAATTGTTCAATGTATTAGATCATTTATAATCAATATAAAAAAATTGACCATTGTCGAAACTCGCCAGTTCTTTTGTATCGTTGTCAGTCAAGTCTATTTTTCTAGCTAATCATCGAAATTGATTTGTCAAGTATGCAATCTCGTCTTTTCTTTCTGTCTATTTTTAATTTTTACCCTACTCTCTGTTCGGATAGACGAGAATTAACATCAGAAAGTGGTCTTTTTTCTTTTTTTTAATTGACAACATAATGTCGTTCGCCGTTTGTCATAAAGAAAAAAAGCAGAATTGATTGTCATTATTAAATAGAGCACAAACTACTAATGGATTGATGGATAAAAGCATTGAGCAAAAATGAGAGAAAAGAGAAGGAAAAAAGCTTCGCCATGTTGCCTGTCAAGAACGTTGACTTTTCAGAAGACCAACATTGTTTGTCAATTTTATAGCTTGAAAACGTTTTAGTTGATTAAATCTAGATTGCTAATGCCACATTTTAATTTTTTGTTACCTGAAGCAGTAGTAAAAATTCGCCTACGTAGCGTACTTTGACTTTTCTTTACCATGGCGGAATAGTTTTGGTCGTTTACTAGTGTGCACTTTTTTTAAAGAAACGAATTTGATCGTTTTGTAAGAGACGCTCGTAAAAAAGGACGAGATTGTGGCGTGTGTTCTGTTCTTCTAGTGTACTACGTCCGAGAGAACACGAAAAAGAAAATCAAGCAAACTGTTAAATGACGGCGAAGAGGACGACGAAAAAAGCCTGTCTATTTGCCATCACCTGTAATTGAATGAGCTAATAAGGAGCACTAGGTATTTATTTCTCGTTTTCTTTTCCTGATATTTTTTTCTTCATCATCATTCTTTCGGCCCTCCCGAGGACAAGTATGTCTTATGTATACATACGACACACACACACACTCTCTCTCTCTCTTTCTCAATATTGTAGCAACACTTGATTATCTTTTCACACCGATGCGAAATAGTAACGAAGAGGATGAGGATGAAAAAGAATAACAACCAGAATAAAGGTACTGTCGTATGAAGAGAAAAAAACGACGATAAGGAAGCAGTGACGTTCTTCCTATGCTTAGTCTATGCCGGTGTGAGATGTGTTTGGCGAACACGCCGCAATCGCGAGAACGAGAGAAAAACAATCACACTGAAAAATTCATTAAAAATGTGTGTGTGTGTGTGTGGGTGGGTGTAAGTTTAATCAAATCCATCCATATGTATTGGGCCGCTCGATCAAGATAAGCAATAATAGTATTAGTAGTGTGAGTAGGACGAGAAAATTGAATTAGACTATCATGCTAATTACTTTCTGTTACCAACATCTAAACATAGGAGTAGAGGAGTATATAACGTCCTATTATAAGAATGGCAGATGTTATTTTTCTGATTGACAATGTATGTACGAACGATCAAAGACAAATTATAGTATTAAGCACAAAAAGAAAAAGTCTCTAATCAGAAAAGGAGAATAATTCATACTTGAAACTTTTATTGAATCCCAAGGTCAGTTTTATTTTTCTTCTATATCTAATCTTCTCGTTTTTCTTGGTATTTTAATATATTTCCTTTGCAATATATATATATACAATACACATGAAGTATATGATGCAAGATAATATAAAACAAAATACGTCTTGAATCGATTGTAAACCGTGATATACAATTAAAAAAAAAGAACACAAAGCCTCATGTAGAGTCGTGAATAAATATTCTCTACAGGAAACATGAATAAGATTGGTCTAATGAAGACGATAATCTGGGCGTCAAAGTGTTTAGCAGACACACATCGATCGAAAGCAAGCGAGCGTGTATCCAAATGATGGTAATTTTAGGGTGTATGTGTGAGTGTTGTTGTTTCTCTCTCACACACACACGCGCACATCTGACATGCGTTAGATTCCATATGTAATTGTCATCACTGAATACATGTGTCCACTGTCTATATAAAGACACCGATGAACTTACCCATATTAGTCATATTAATCATAGTTTTCATTGATGTTGGCAATGTTATCGGTCTTGATAGAAGTTCATCGTCAAGCAAATCAGATAACATTTTTTTTGTTTTGTTTTATGAAAATCTGAAATGAATAACAATAATAATAATAATAATAATAATAATAAAATAAAATAATGCATTCTCACGCTAATTCAATTATATCAGATACTACAACGATCAACGAACACATCTGGAGGCATTCCTCATTTTCTCACTCTCTATTATATTATTTCTCTTTCTCTTTATTAGTCAAGAGGTATGAAGTATGCAAGCTAAGAGAACGAGATTCTGCTAAATGAGTTGAGTGAGAAACGAGATAAAAGCGGAAAGTTGAGGAGATGATGGATGCAGAACGCCGTCGTCATCGTCTCACAGCTCGTCGATTATTGATACTTCTGCCTGACAATAGTAAGAGAGAAAACGCGTCGATAACAATAAAATGACGAATGATAGCACGTTAGCTGATTGTATACACATTTGGATTCGAGATTAAAATCGATCGATTGATGATGATGATGATAATGATTCAATGGGCAAGCAACATCCAAATCGTAGAGAGAAAACGTATAATAACACGAAGAATAATAACACGACCCGCAAGGAGAAGAAGAAGAATAATAATAAGACGAGGAAGAGAGGGAGAGAAAGAGATTTTATGTGCAGTAAAAGAAGACATGATGGCATTTATGCCCTGTGAAAATGATGTACACATAAAACACTTGCTTCACTGTCTTCATTTCTTTTTGTAGTTTAAAAAACATTCTAGTAATTGAAAGATTTTACTAAAAAACAAGAAGAAAACTTGCTTTTTTTTGGTGCGCCAATGAGTTGTGCACATGAAATAAAGAGATGCAACTTAACATTACCTGTCAATGAATTATTCGTATTGGGCGAATACGTAAGCACATAGGCACACAAATGTTTAAGTGTAAATAGATGACAGGTGTTATATGACGACAATATTGCGAATGTGAGCCTCAACAAGCATTGTTGTCGAAAAACGAATAATTAAAAAAAAATAAAATATATTTATATGTGTCTTTCCCCATCATTTCATAGAAGAAATCGTTTTTTAAATATTAACACAACAATAACGGGTGACGTCCATTATGGTAATGCGTTCTAGCTTTCTTTCTGTCTCTCTCTCTCTCTCTCTTTCTTTTTCCCTCTCTGGAGCGCGCATGTCAACTGTGAAATATGAAACGTCGTCCAACATAAATTCTCCGGATGGTCTGTATTGTGTGCGTATGTGTGTTTGTCAGTCCTCAATAATTGTCGGTCAGGGAATTACATTCGAATATGAAATAGTCTTTGCTTGTCTGTATTCTGACTGTTCTATATATCTTCTGCTACACACATACACACATGCAGTCTCTCAAGAGACACACATACGCAAATCTGTTAATTGATGCGCGATTACAATGAGAAGGAACAATGAGAAACCTTATTGAATGAAACCCTTTTCGTTTTCTCTATCTCTTCTTCTTTTTTTTTGCTGGTAATACGCGCGCGCGCGCGCATCTATTTACTCGTGTGCCTAAGCACAATCTAAGGTCTCTTTGCTCGATTATAATTAGTGGTGTTCGTCGAACATTATCCTGAGGTCCAACCCTAAAAAAGATGTATTTTTCTCTTTCTCGTTTTTTCGTTTTGGATGGTTTCAGCATAATTAAATAACCATCATCGACATCAGAAGCTAGAGCGCACTGCAATGACGATGGTAACATACTCAATAATGCCTGTCGTGTCAGAAATCGATTGATGTCGTCGTCAAGATTAGATCGTATAATCGGCCGGCGTTACCGACGGCTGCTATGCTACAGAAAATTACCATTTAGATAAAAGATAGAAAAAGAGACGACCGAGTATTTGGTTCGTTGAACGATGAACAATCGGAACAAGATGCATCGACGACTAGTAATTATTGAGTGTTGTTCAGAACTATTACAAACTTCCGTTCAAATGACAATAAGACGAGCATTTTTTCTCTTTTATTTTTTGATTTCATTGGAATAAGATTTCTTTCTTTCATTTATTTTTATTTCTCGTGCTTGTATGAATCAAATTACTAATCATAAATCTTTTCTCGCTTGTTTAGTTCATCTTATTGTTCGAATGAACAAGCAATCCTACCCTCAATGATCATGTCCTCTCAACAAACATGACAACGTGTTATATGTGCGCAAAAGAGCAAACACAATTTAACTAGTAGTCTGACACATGAAATTTAATGAAATAATCATGCGTTTATCTTCTCTTTTTTTTCTAATCATGAATGAAAGCGACTCAAACGAGATTTTATTCAAGCAATGTCTCGAACAATAACTATTGATGAAATTCTATCGAAATTAAAATCTTAATAATAGATAAGGAAATTGTCGAAGCTCAGTAATATTGAAGATCCATTTAATAAAAATTGCCAGAATATAAGCAGATAATCAATATCTACTCCAATAAAAAAAATATATATAAAACAGAAGAAAATCAATAGTAGGAATTATGAAAATCAAACAATGCAATATATGATTCCATGGAGAAATAATAATAATAATAAAAAAAAAAGAAAATATTCTTTATATTAAAATTATCGATACAAATTGTATTGTAGCTATTTTGTTTTCTTTTTCTTTTTTGGTTCACAACTTACAGTGTCACTTAGTGCAAAGAAATATAAAGATTTTTTAATTTCTATTTTGACTAGATGTACCCAATGATAGATTTTCATTGAGCACGAATTGCTGATAAGTTATACGTAATGCTCTATCCATTAATAAAATAGAAATCATTGTTATAAATACGTCCATCGGACGTATTTGCACGGGACGATTTCTTCGTTGTGAAGACATCGTTAAATTTTGAAATGGAATTTCAACAACAAGTAGCTGTTGTTGAGGATAATATAGTGCATGAGCTTTTCGTACATCGGCATTTGTTGGAATAACAAACGTACGTCGAAATTCTTTTTTAACAAAATCTGGTTCTGTATCTTCATCATGATCTATTATTGAACTTGTTGTTAATCGTTGAGATAATTGAGTCTGCGCTTGAATAACATGTTTACCACGAACAATAAGACGACCGTGCCGAATGGAAACATTTAAATCATTAGGTTGAAAGCCTTCAACATTCATACGTAAACGAAATATTCCTTGCTCCTCATTGTTTACTGGTGCTGATGGAGGGATTTGCCTATCGACATCAACAGATTGTGATGGAGCTGCCAATGGAAAAGGCATCATGTTTGATATTGCCGAAAATGAATAATCATCTTCCATGTAATCATCATCATCATCATCAGTTGAGTTGGCTACAACTAGCATAGGAAATGCTGCTGTTGGATACATAAAAGGCATCATCTTAGTTGATGTTAATCATATACATATAAGGCAATAATACTGCTACTGTATATTTCAACCAGAATAAGTCATTTGCCTACGATCGAAAAAGAAAGAACAAGAATGACGAATATACAAATGCGTTTCTACATACACACAAAGAGGAAGAAAATGTCATAGAGAAAAAAAATCATGCACAATGTTACGTATATAATATGATATTGCATCGTTTAGGTTAGTAATACAGCGTAAGCATTGATGAAAAAAATAGATATCATCAATATATCATCTATAAGAAAGAAAGAAAGAAAGAAAGAAAGAAAGAAAAAAGACTATATTATCATTTCGTTCTCGCCAGGCGTTTTTTTTTCGGAGGGCTTGTATCTCTCTATGTGTACGTATGTTGATCGTGTAGCTAGAAATTATTGTTAGGAATCAAAATAAATGAGACATCTCATTAGTTAATGAGTTGCATTACCGATAACAATGGCCTAGTTTGTAAAATATATATCAAGGTTAATAACGAATCAATAATAACTAGACAAGGACAAATGAATTTATCGATTGAAAATGACTTTAAAAAGAAACACAAAGAATTGCTCATTCGAACGTTAATTAAGGAGTAGAATTCAGTTAACATAGTTCTTTTGTTATGTAATTTATTCATCTTGATATAACCAACGTAAATTATATTCTATAATAATAATTGAACAGCAATGAGAAAACATCAAAGAAGGTTCATACGACTGTAAGAATGTCCGCATCAAACGAATTAATGTTCTTTCAAGATAGTTTAATGATCTGTAGATCGATAAAAGCAAAATAGACTGATTAGCTTTAATTAAATCTCAGATAGTAGAGGAGAAGAAAAAAATCTTCCTGAACGTGCTGAAAGACGTTCGACATCATTATGTCAAACATGTGTTCAAATAAGTTTTGTTTTTTATTTTTCAAAAATTCTTTGTTAACCGTCTGATAGAAAAATTTAAAATCATTTGGTCTTTTTTCCTCAATATGGAAACACAAAAAAATGATTTCACTGAAAATTACAATTGAAAAAAAGCACTTTCCAATAAGTTTTATATTACAGAAAAAAAAATGTGCTTCTGCAAAGAATTAAAATTGCGTATGTCGAACATTGACTTTGTTATTTCGTAAAATGATAGGTGCTGGTCGATTGACTGGTGCATTCGAATTTTCTGTTTTTCCTACTACAAATAAATTTTGGCCATCAAGATCATTTTCTTCATCTTCATCTGTATGGAATGAATGATTGCGTGTCTCCGGTAAACTGTAAACTGCAATAATTTGAATGATTGTTAAAACGGAATAGGTATAGAATGTTATTTTGATGTATTTTTCACCGAGTGCAACATCAATAACTGGTGCAAGAATGGCACCAATACGTCCGGTAAAAACAAATACACCATTGGAAACGCCACGCATCGATGTAGGAAATATTTCTGGAACATAAATCCATGTTATTAATACAGCACCACTAATAGTTAATTTTCCTATTTGTGATATTACTATTGTTATAATCGGATAGGATTCCATTACAAACGGAATGATTAATACACAAATACATGTAAACAATGAAAATACTATAAAGGAATATTTTCGTCCTAATCGAGTTGTAATGGAAATACTTCCTAATATATAACCAATACCTTCAACAATAGCGCCTATAATTATATTCCAGTATGGACTTACAGCATCACTCATAGCGCCAAGGCCATAGGAAATTTTAATATATAGAAGCATTGTAACACAACCAATCAATGCACATAGAGACAATCGTGGTAAATGATGAAAAATAATATCTTTACTTGAGCGTGATGCATGTTTTCTACTCAACATAGATAAACGTGGATTATGAATTAATTCTTTATAATATGGATACCATTCATTATCTGAATGGCCATTTATTTTAGCTATTTTTCTTAAGCATTCTTCTAATTGATTATATTTCTTTTTCGTAAATAGCCAATATGGTGATTCAGGTACAAAATAAAGATAGGGTAAAATCAGCGCAAAATAGCCAGTGATGACCCATTTAAGACGTAACCAATCACGAGCAAAATAGGCCAATAATGTAATAACACCTTCGCCGATAGTAAAACCTATGACAGCTGAATTGCCAGCGAGACTCGTATGAGAAGATGATGTTAGCTCCATAAGAAGAAGAAAGACCATTGGGTAAGCATCAATACTTGAAAATAGTTGATTGATGGAAAGAATAATAAACCTGAAAAATTTAAATCGCTATTTTCAGTTCGAATCGATCTGGTGTGGCACTGAGTCATTTGCCGATTGCTTATGAAAATAGAGTTCTTTTCAAAAGGTTAAAAATTTATCTTCTATTGGTCGATAAATAATAGCAAGTCATATCATAAAATCAATATTCATCCCTGATAGTCAACGAGGAAAACTTTCCGATTTGAAACTGGCGGTATGAAAGATCAACATTTGTTTGTTTCTATATCTGTTATCTCTTTACTCATGATCTCGATCGGTAGCTATAGAATTATTTCATAACATGCTTTCAATATTTTTTTAGAACAGTTAGCTCGGTTTTTTCAGGTCAATTGTGTCGAGCAATACTCTGATTGATCTAATAGAATTTCGAATTAACACCAAAATTCTGCATTTTTATGATATTTTTTAGTAAAATATAGTAACCGCTCTTGCAAACACTAGAAAAATGAATTTGTTGATTTTTCATAGAAAGTAGTTTTTGATGAAAATAATTGATCCTGAATATTTTCTAGTTAGCTCTTCTTTGGATACCATCATAATAAAAACATTTCCTTCATTTAAATCCGAACGCTACTGAAAATTTCAAAGCAAAATCTTCTCGTTAAAATCAACTTATTGCAAAAGTTCAAAGTTGAAGTGCAAGTATCAATCGTCCTATTGTATGTTATAAAGATCATAAGATTTTTTTAGCAAATATCACGAAAAAAGGATATCCGATGCTAATAAGCCGAAGATTAGCATTCTTGGTATGATATTCGTATATCATCATGGCCTGCGCGTTACTCCCTCTACTAACGTAACACATATCTTCGGATACTTGCCCAATCGAATCAATTTCTACATTTATAAAAACGACAGTCACCATGTCTTCTATATCTGTAGAACATTATTGAATGATGTTACTTCTGTAGTCCTTTCAAAATCTTCTAAATTCTGAATCCCTCAACTCAACTATGTACCTGGTCGTAATAACTTATTCGAAATCTTCAAAATCAAAGGTCACCACCTAAGTGCCTTCTTTTGCTGAGCGCTCTTCAGGACTATCATGATGTGACATTCGATTAGTCGTTTCAGTTAATCTTGTTTGATCTTCCACGCTTAAAAACAAAACTAAATAACATGTTCTAAAAGTAATCTAACTGCGCATTCACTCTAAAACTTGTACAGACTTACTTTGTATTCATATCCATTGAAACAGTTTGCAGAAGTATCTGAGTACTGAATGGAATCATAAATAACATGACAGTTAATATTCGAATCATTTTTCTTCGTCCAACTTTATCACAAATAAATCCAGTGATTAAAACCACAAATCTAGAATTAAATATTAAATTCATAGTTCATAGAAAACTTTCGTTTTCTTCTAGTCACCCTCCAACTTGATACATTGTTGAAAGCCATGTTTTTTTCAATGCCTTTTCACAAATATAGTTTCCGGCTTCAGTAAACGTTAGACCAAAAACACTTCGATCATAAATAAAATCCGTACAGATTGAACCATTAACATCATAACATTTCGATGAGTGTGACCATTGATTACTAAGATTCTGTTGGCCGGATGCTATTGATTGATATTGGCTTTCACCTAATTCTGTATTTAATGGTAATCGACAACGATACGATGGTTCAGCAACACCAAATACATAATAATATGTTGTTATACCACTACCAAGTGTAATTAAATTTAAAAAAATATAATGTATTAGTTGAAAACGACCTAAATCACCGCATCGTCGAAGAACATTTTCTATGGAAATATCGCCAGCCATTGATCGAAATGCGATAGATATTTTATGTTTCTCTCCCTCGATTGTAATCGATAGGATGACTTTATCTTTTATTCTTCGATAAGCTTTACGATTCTTTGGGAGCGAAAATGTTTATTTAAAAACAAAATAGTAGAGCTAACAGCGAAATCTATGTGTGTGTATTAAAATGACGTTATTGAAATATTGTATCTTTTTATGTAAGAAGAATGAATAGATCTGTTGTGTATTTTACGAGGGTATGATTGCGTCGTACTGAATATATTTGGTTGTTACTTTTTGTGTTTGTGACAGACAGCTTCTTTTTTTGTGTTTGCACGTAACTTTTTATTTTCTTCTCGTTCTTTATCCTTCTTTTTTTTATATCAGTATACACACACGATTACTGACTAAGATATATTACACGTACTATCAAATGAATCGTTTCATTACATTTGAGAAGTAGATTCAGCGAAACATAAAGGTACATTTACTTTTCGTTAACGATAAAAATCTTCCGATGATTAAAATTGGTGGGTATTTCGATGAGATATTGAAAGAACTTCGATTGTTTCTGATTCGGATCAAATTAGAATATTACAAGGGTATTATCTAACCTTGTACAAAATAAGTCGTTTCATCGAAAACGAAATACTTGAAGCTGTTTGTTGTTGTTCAGCGAAAAGGACTGTTGTATTACCTATTGATCTGTTTAATTGACTGCATTCAATTGTTGTCGAAAAGCTACACAAATGAAGGCTGCCCACTGATCAAATGCTTTTTGAGCTGAAAGTACGTAGATGAATCATGTGGATCCTAATGAATTATAAGTAATCAGATAAGAGTTTAGGCCAATCGATGCCAGCATTTCACAACTCAATTTGATTTTCGAATTTCGCTTAACTAAGCCCAAGAGAGAATATCTCATCATCTAAGGTTGAAACTATTTGATCTAAATCTATTTCAAAATAAAAGAATGAAATCTGCACTACTCTGGCTTTGGTTGTATCTGCCCATAGGAATAAGGACAAAAGTAAGAGCTTCGATAATAAAATATTCTCGTCAAGTTTTGTTTCTATGCAAATTTTCAAGTCAAGAGTCGATAATCACTTTTACTTTCACTATTGAGGCGGTACCACAGTACGATTGAAAAATACTAATGAAATTCATCATATTAACAATCAACTTGAACTCTTATCGCAGCATATATAAAATGACCAGAGCCTATATATTATACATACATGTAATCAATCATTCCTTTCGTTTATTATGAAATAAAAAAAGAGTCTATTTTTAGACGATAGGCATTTCACTTCCTTGATGAGGACATCTAGTGTAAATTCGTGTTGTCAAAATTTATTATATGTATGCAAATATAGTCAGAAAAATGAAAACAAAAAAATGAAAAAAAGAACCAACAACAACAACAACATTATTATGATAAAAAATCCACAGACACTACATCTAATATGTATCTGACATTACACAGAAAAAAACAGAATTTGACAAAACCAACAAACAATAATGACGACTATACAATGAAAATGAATAGAAAAATAGAAAACATGGGCCCTGTTCGAATACTGTGTTTTTATCAGTATATATATATAAATATATATATATATATATATATGTATTTATTTATATGTATATTAAAAGAAACTTAATATTTTTCTTCTTCTCATGACTCTTTCTCTCCATTGCCTGAATAGAGTTTAGCAATGTTTTGAAATTTTGGCCCCATGTGTGTTAAATATTCCAATTCAAGTTCTTTATCTGTATCGTTTTGATCTTTTGAAGTTATAGTCAATGTTGATAATGTACATTCTTCATTTCTAGCTAATGGTTCGCCTTCATAGGCGTATTCTTGTAGGCTATCATAGGGTGGTTGTGATGGATCATCATCAATATCACGTATTCGACCTTTAATAAATTCTCCAACATTTATACCATTATTTAAACCATTTGTTTGATTCTTATTCAAAACAGGTTTTGGTGCTGGTATTGGTGGCATATCTTTTCTTATGGTTGACTTTTTCGATGAATCTAATTGTGTATTTCCATCAGGCGTCGACTTCAGAAGAGGCTTGCTTTCTGATTCTGAATTTTGTCGTCCATTACGATTGTTATTTGCATTACTATTAGCTGAAAATACAGGCTTTTTCAATGTTGATATATCATATGTAACAGGATCTTCATCGGGACAACCTTCTTCATCGTAATTAATAATATTATCTCGTATTTCATCGTCCATACCAAGTATATAGGCTTTTTTCGTTTGTCTTCGTCGTGTAAACATAATTAATATTAAAACAAGAAATAAAATAAATAAAAGGCAAATTAATGTTGCAACTATGATATGCCAACTGAATGTTCCTGCTAGTGGCATAGCTTTCAATGTACAGCGTTCGCCTTGCCAACGCGCTTTACATTCACATTTAATTGTATTTTCACGAGCTTCGTATAAACAACTTTTTGTGCCTTGAACATGACATGGATTTGTTATATCACTGCACCAATCGAATGCGGTACATGTTTCATTTGTTGGATTGTATTTAAATGTATCCGTGCATTGACATTGGCCATGTCGCCATGTGTTAACGCAAAATGCAGGCGAACGACATTGTACACCACGACACCAATTATCGAGATTGTCGCAGCCTTCTTTTATATTTGATTGAAATGTCCATTTCATATCGGATGATGATGAACCATTTAATAGATCGAGTACTTGACCATTGAAGCGAACATCCATAATGCAACCATCATTGAAATCTGCCGTCACGATTTTATGTACAGCCTAAAAACAAAATTATGCCATCAGAAAAACGAAGTCGTTCGAGACCTATTCTATCTGATACTCCGAAAATAATGCAGATAGCAACAATGTCTAGTCTTCACGACGACGTATAATAATCACCTATCTTTAATTCTCTTAAGATTTCTATCTCTATTCGATTGTGTTTCCGAGAAAAAATAAAATCAATAAACTTACTGAATCTATACGAGCACCAACATTTAATAATGTATTTGGAAAGTGTTTCCATATTGATTTACCATAACTAATATTTGAACGGTAGTATTCACCGTCATCAAGACGTAAGATTAATCGTTGTCCGTAACGATCGAGATAGGCTGTATGCCAGCGTCCATCATTAACTAGAACATATTTCAATTCGAGTAACTGTGTATCCGACTTCGAACCAAATCGAGCTTGTAAATGTCCAGATTTAATTTCCAAAAACATGAAAGTATCATCATTGTGAAAATCGATTAATGTTAATATATTATCTGATATTTCACGTGTGCGAAACATGATTTGAAATTTTAATATTTGCGACGAATAAGCCAAATCATTGTCGGGCTTATGTTGATGACGGAACGTTGCGTAGGATGCACGATCACCTGTCCATGTTTGTTTATCATAGGTGAAATCGTAGGATGTTGTTTCTTGTGTGCACGTGGGACCTGCTCGGCCAGGCTTACAAACGCATTGTACTTGATAAAGGTCAGCACCACAAATGCCATTATTTGATTGACAAGATAGTTTTTGACATTTTAAGTCAGTTAGAAGGCAACCTTCATGAAGATTAACCGATTGATCACTATGTAAATCGACATGAAGATCGTATAATTCATCAGCAAAACGAAGATTACGAATGCAGCCTAGAAAAAGAAGCCATACAAAAATTTATTTCAACAGTAATGACAAGATGATCCATAGAGAACTGCGGATCGAGATTTTAAGGATTATTCGACTAGACGTTTTTCCCCGTCGATATAATAAATCAAGTGAGTAGCCCTTCAGGCGAGCATGGCACATGATTGAAACCAAAAATGAGTTCGAATCTAGGAGGGTCCCTCGTTTTCTATTGAAAATAAAGGTCAGACTATCATCTGTAAACCTCAGAAAAAGGATAAACGTCTATTGAACTAACCTTTAAAATTTCCAACATATTCCATGGGTAATTGCTGTTGATTAATTTCATTTTCCTGTAAAGCAACACCGCCTAATTGTAATGGTCGATTTGTACTAAAAATAGCGTCTTCATTGAATTCAATCATAAATCGACATTCGCCATATTGTTTCGATATGCTATTCAATGGGCAATAATCAATTAAAATTTCCAAAATATGTTCAATTGTGCTCATTTGTCGTATTTCAATCACATGCCATTTGCCATCAGCTAAATTTCCACTTGTTTTTAAATGTCGTCGAATATTTTTTCCATTTCCGAAATTCAAATCAATCAGAAGATGACCGTTTAATAATTGCAATGAAAAATAATCTTCGGGCTGATTTTGTTTAGTTATTGGTCCATTGTATAGTATCGAGCCATTGGCTGTTTGGCTTAAAAATTCAATCGATAACATCCATGTATCACATGTTGTCAATGGTTTATACCAAGCGTAACCATTGCCTAATAAATAGAAAGAAAAATATGTTAATGCTTAAATTTCTGCTGAAAATTCAATACAGCAAGTCGATCACCATACGATTGGCAAGTTACCCTCGGGTCGTTTATTTTTTAATCGACTCAGTACTGTCCATCTTGTAATGAATTATTTCTCAAAGTTAGATTTTGACAAGTCCGTTCAACTTTAGTATAAATAAAAATCTGTACTATAAGATTTTCTGGCTAGATAAAATTCAAAATCTCATTGTTAACACTATTCAATACGTTTTTCCTGTCGCTAAAGAACTCTCCTAGTATCGGCCTAACGCCTGTTAACTTCAGTTGCAGTAAAAACAAAATTAGTTTTACCGTCAAATGAAATGCTTGTCAATTGACAACGTTCACCACCATTGTATAACGTATTATCAGGGCACATGCATTTAATATGATGATCATCTCGCGTTGGATATCCACCGTTTAAACAATATTTATGTGTTTTTAATAATTCTTTCTGTTTTTCTTGTTGTACATGAACATCCGTATCACACGCACATTGTGCGATTGTTTTCAAATGTAAACCAATGAATGAGGTTTGATTAGAATTAATTAAATACGGTTGTTTTGATTGTACTTCAATTTTATTTAAACAACCAATTGCAAAACATTGTTGATCAGCATTCAAACATTCGTTTATATCAATTTGACTTATATTAAAATGATTTTCAAGTTTTTTACGTGCAATTTCAATAAGACCGTTTATTTTTACTTTCGATAAATAGCCACTACCGTGAAGCGCATAATAGACATCGATCGTGCGCGGTAAATGCTCATGATTTTGTATCGAAAAAACATCGATGTGACGAGCATTTGGAATTGTTTCAAGTATTAAACGTTTGAATGTTGATAATGGCGATTCAGGACGATGACGTGTTTCAATAAATTCTTCGGCAGTAATATCCTGAAGACGTATTGATGCTGCATTTTCAAATGCATCCGATGGTAAATCATGCAAACGAAATTCAATATAGGATGTTTTAGGTTCTAGACTTGCCCACTGAGGATGTGTATCACGAACGGCAACATCGTATTTATAAGGAACACCTAGAGGAATAGAAAACAGAAGGTTTAATAATACTTTAGAGATGGAAATAAAAATTTTTACCATGTTGAATTGTTGAATTGCTATTTTGCATTGTCAAATAAATTGCGCCTGGTGTACGTGATGAATGCATGCTTTTATCGATTTGTAAAAAGCTATTATCATCCGATGGTAGAAGTTCGAATGTTTTACTATTTAAATCCCAATCATCTTCATCGTCGGTAAAAGCAGTGCCAACATAAATACGGGATGTAGATAAAACTTTACTTAATGTATGTTTATAATCATAGATATCAATAGATTTGTAGCCACTATTAAATGGATTATCATTGATATCTTCGACGAGAACTCGAAGATTGTTTATGCCTGATTGTTCACCATCCGACATCCATATTGGTAGATCATAATATTTACCGCAATAACGTTGATGTTTAAATTTCTCAGTGCTTGGGCAAAGTTCTTCCCGGTCGAGTTCACGTAACGAACTAAGCGTGCCACGTGGTTTACCATCACTATCCATATGAACATCAAGACGAAATTTCGGTTCACCTTCTTCCGGCCAGATATTATTTTTACCTGCAATTAATAGTAGAATTCATTTATGATTATTCGTATAGATGGGCTGTTTGATTCAGTTTTCGTTTGAAACAAACTGCTGTCAAAAAATTTCATTTTATTTAGTAAAACTCCTGAGAATTCCTCATGGTCGATTACCTCCATTCTATTAGTTTTCGGTAGGGGAATGATTGATTATTTTAATGCATAGTCTCATGAGACACGATTATATAATTCGATGAATTTATTCTTCTGTTAGATCATCGACTCTAACTATTCATTATAGTAATGTAATCGATTTAATAGAATACGTAATCTCAATAGTTGCATGCAATAAACTATTTATCACATCTATAGTATAAATTTTCTTTTCTATCAGGATTTTGCTGAAAATATTATCATGTTTTATCTAAAACAAAACTTACCAAGTTTAATTCGATATTTATTTTTTCCGTTGCTTTGATCATCGGGATCGTTGATTTTAAATTCAAGAAATTTTTTAGCTGCTGAATGTTCACGTATACGTGGCGAATAATTTTCTGCAAAACGCGGATGATTATCGTTCACATCAAGAACATTAATAACCAAAACAGCACGACCAACCAACATATTTGAACTTTGATTATTTACAGCTTCAATCGGTAAACTGATAGTTGAAGATTTTTCTCTATCGAAATTTTTCTTCAAATAAATTCGGCCATCGATAGCGTCGATACGTAAATGTTGACGATTTTCATATTGCGAACGATCTGGTGGAATACGATAAATAAACTCTTTATTTATTGGATTGACATCATTATCGGTAGCATGCACACGAAGAATCTCTTGCTCCAATGAGGTTTCTTCGCTGATATTGGCAAAATAAACCGACTGAGAAAAAACTGGTATGTTATCATTTGCATCAGTAATGAAAACAGTTACATTAGCGAAATCCGACATTCCACCATTTGTTGCTTTTATTTTCAAAAGAAACTTGACTTGATTATCTGGTGGATCATAATTAACAGGTTCAAGCAAAATAATTGTGCCTTTTTCAGCTAGTGCAGTTTCTTTAAAAATGAAATATTTCGGGTTCGAACAACGTATCATTTGTTCATTAAACAATTGGCATTCTTCAATAATTTCATATAATGAATGTGTATTAACACCAATATCATCATCTTCAGCTCGGACTTCTGTTACGAAATCTCCACGTTGTGCTGTTTCCGATATTTGTGCTTGTTGATTTTTCGGTTTAAATCGTGGCTAAAAGAAACAAAGCATTTCAATTAATAATAATCGTATTAGCATAAGCCTCGTTAAATTAAACTGTAGAAAATAATTAAGTTTTATATCCTAAACGATTCTGCTTTTTCAATGCAATAAGAAAGTGGATGTAAAATTTTGTTCTCTCGCTTTGAAAAATGTTTTTTAAGACTGGGCTTCAAACGCTAGAGGAATATCCTACCGGCATATCATTAACATCATCGATAATAATTGTAATTTTCAATTCTTTCGATTGTAAATTTCCAGATTGATCACCTGAATCTCGAGCTATAATTGATAGATTATGATGTGGAGTTTTTTCTCGATCGAGATAATTGTCAACATTCAGATAGATATCAGCTGTTATTTCATCAATACGAAATACATCGGAACCATCAATCGATTTTGTATTCAATGTTAATGCATAGCGTGTTGTGTTTTCGGATAGTTTATCATAATCTGTAGCTTTTATTCTCAAGCCTTCAACACGTGTTCCAGCGCGAGCATTTTCAGGTATATGTCCCATTGGATCAACATCGATGAACATGGCTAAATGAAAGAAAAAAAAACAGGGTTTAATAAATTTTGAAAAAATTGAGAGAAAAAAAATCTTACGAGGCAAATCGTTAATATCTTTGACGATGATTTTCAACCATGACGCATTCTTTTTCGAACCCATATCTTCTCGTCCATCTTCATCAGCTGCAATAATAGTTAACAACCATTCATCGAAACCATTCGGTGGATCACGGTCAAGTTCTTGTTTCAAATGAATTGTACCATTTAATGGATGAATTTCAAAAAATTGAGTATACAATGGATTTGATGATGTTAGCGTATAACGAATCGGTAATTTTAATGGACGACCAAAATCAGGATCAATAGCTTCGACTTTATAAATTACTCGAGATGAATATGGTTGCTGAGAAGCATATTCATCAAAGAGATCTTCTGGCGCTTTGATTGCTGTTGATATTCGTTTTTTATTGAAATCTTTTTGTTTTCTATAAGTACGAGAATCTCGTTTTATTCGTGATGGCTGTCGGATAATCATTTGATCATAGTCAACTGTTTGTCGACCTTCCTCGACAATAATTTCCTTTGGTAAATTAAGAAAACGTGGCGGATTATCATTTGCATCTTCAACGATGACTGTTAGAATTGTTCGAGCACGATGTTCGTTATTCGAATCGCTAACTTGAACTTCCACACTATGTTGTTGAACACGTTCATAATCAAGAGCTGAAGCTAAATAAACTTCACCCGTATTTTCTTTGACGGCAAAAGCCGATGCTTCTTGTTCGTTGGCAATCGAAAATGTTAAAATATCATCTGTATCAATATCACTGACATTCAAATGGAAGATTGTTGTTCCTGGTTCAGCATCTTCCATGACTTTCGTAAAGTATGGTAAATTATTGAATTGCGGCTAGATTACAAAAACAAAAAATTATTCAATCTGATTAAGACTTCATAGTTTACTAACACAATTTGATAATTCAATTTTGATGAATCATTGACTTGTCGTCACTCTAGAGTCAACGCCTCCCGGGTACGTACAGTGTCTTTTCCGTACTTCTGATAACTTTATTTCCGCTATCCCCGCATTATAAGTGACTCGAACTCATGATCTTTTTCTTTAAGCTCCTGAGAATAGACTTGTTAAAGTCGGCCGATTCTAAATTCTTATCTTCGCTTACGAGAAAAAATTCTGCACTTATGTTTAAAGCTTTACATGTGCTCTATAATATAGTTCACTGAATATTATAGCAAACTTCACTTCAATATTTAATTTCGGTTTTGACAGATATCGAAAATTTAGTAAAAGAAAATGCACCAGTCATAATTCAATAGTGATTTTCCGAAGAAAAAAACCGAAGCGTGACTTACCGCATTATCGTTTCTATCGAGTACTTCAATAATAACTGGTACACGATGTTCAGTGACGCAAATTTGAATTGTTGGATTTGCATCAGCACCTGATGATGAGGACGACGATTGAGATTGAGATTCTTTCGTATTTTGTCCACTGCATCGATCGGATGGTAGAATATTTTTTGCGAAAACATCAAATACAAAACGACGATCTGCCGGATTATCATAATCGAATTGTCGTTGAACGCTAATCCAACCGGTTTCAGGATCAATCGAAACAATACCTTGACATGACAACGAATTCGATAGTGGACTATTATAATGATATTGAAGATTTTGTTGATTACCTAAAATAAAAGGAGAACAATAAATAATTCATTAAGTTCTTTTTCTTCTCTCTTCTTCTTACCATCATTTGCACATCGGATAAAATAGGTTGTATTTCGATTTTTAGGATCTATATCTTTATCTTCAGCTTGAACACGTAATAGATTATCTTTAACTTCATTTTCATAAATTTGTGCACGATATGAACTAACATTAAACATTGGAATATTATCATTTGAATCGACAATCTCAATTTCATAGATACTCTCCAATGATAACGCTTCCATAGCGGCATTTTTCGCACGAATCTTAAATTGATATCGTGTGCAACCCGTTGGCGGATCAGCATCAATCGGTTGATAGATAACTAAACGTGCAATATTACGTCCGCTTTCGTCCGGCGTCAATAGAAAAGGTATGCGAGGTTTTTCACTAGCTAATGCAACATTTGAACAAGTCCAATTGAATGGTTCCATTTCGAAAATAACCTTTTTCGATGAATCATTTGCAATCGATGCTTTAAATGTGTCGATAACAATATTTTGTTGAGCTAATTCAACAACTTTCATAACACGTTGAAATGTTAAGGCAGTTTCAGGTGCCCAAAATGGCGGTTCGAAACCATCTTGAGATAATTGAAATTGAATTTTACGTTCAACACATTTCGGTGGGCCATCGTCAGGTGAATCGCAGACTTTGACAACAAGGCAGTATTTTATTTGTAGATTTATTGGATTATTTACATTCGATGAACGCGTAGAAATAACACCTGATTGAGAATCAATGACGAAATACTGAATACCATTGGAACAATCAGTACGAGATTCAAGAGTAAAATATAACTGAGCATTTTTTCCACTATCTTCATCCTTGGCACGAACAACAAGAACAGGATAATTGAAATTAACACGTTTTTCCATTTTGATCGAAATTAAATCATTGTCACGCGCCGGTGATGTTATTACAGGAGCACTAAACGAAAGCAAATAAGCATTTCTTTTCTTCATGCAAATAGTCTACACATTAGAGTATAGAAAACAGTCAAGGTGTACCGCCGACTGTGATTAACCTATAAACTTATTAGAGTTGCCACTGAGAAAAATATGGCATTCACTTATGTAAATGCTGATTAGGACGCTGATGCAGTTGTTCAATTGTAGACGGAATCATCAATGATTTCTACGTCTTGAACTCATTCTTAATTCAACTGCTTTGTACTCATGCTGTTAATTTACGTATCTGTATGAAACTCGAAAAGTACTTGTAATAAATCATGTGGATCACAAATCACTCTACAGGAGGTAAAGAGTTTAAGTGGTATTTTCCATGTCAGCATGAAACCTGATGGAGATGTGAAACTCTCAAAAGAAAAAAAAAAGAAAAGCGTGTCAGGTACACTTTCCTTAGGAATTTTTTTGTCTCTGTAAAATTTTAGATTAAAATGTGAGAAAACTTACTGATCATTAATATCTTCTACGGTGATTTTTAAAATACAATGAGTTGAACGCGAATTCGATGGATCTTTATCTTGTGCAAATATTGTCATTGTATATTCACTAAATCCAGATTTCAAATGTTTTAATTTCTTCTTATTCGTAACCACACCAGTGTCAGGATCGATAGAAAACATATCTGAATCTTGTTGCGGATCATTTGTACCCTTTAATGAAAATTGTATTTCACCATTTAAACCACGATCTTGATCTGTTGCATTGATTTTTATTATGGCAGTATTTACTGTTGCATTTTCACGTATAGACGCAATAATCATTCCCTGTTCACATTGTTCAATACGTGGCTAAAATGAAAATTGACTTGTACATTTTTTTTAAACAAAAGAAAAAGTTCATTACTGTATGATCATTCACATCATAGATTGTTATTAAAAGCTGCGCTTGAGATGCATGCCCAAGACGATCAGATGCTTGCATAGTTAAATTATAGAATTCTCTGTCGGGTAGAAGTGGCTGTTCGAGAATAACTCGACCACCCCCTGGACTTGTTATAATACGAAATGGATTGTATTGAGTTGTTGGTAAAAATTGTACCGTAACAGAATCATTATATTCAGTATCGACAACATCAACAAAAACAACTAAAGAAAGAAAAAAAAATTTTAAAGACTTCGCAAAAACAAATTATCTCTCTATTTACTAAATGTTCCTCGTTGTGCATTTTCTGCAATTGTTTTCTGTACTGGATTTTCTTTAAATACAGGTGGCTAAAAATGAATATAGACAAAAATAAATGCCATAAAAATTAATTTGAAAAATATAAAAATTTACCTCATCATTAACATCAGTAATTGTGATATAAATTTGAGCTTCGGATTGTAATGATTGTGGTTGTCCATTATCACGTGCAATAATTTTTAATTTATACTGACGATCTAATGGCGATAAAGATTCATAATCTAGACGTTCTTTAGCGATAAGATATGCTTGAATATTATTCGATGTTGACACACGAGTATCATTATAGATGGAAAATTTTCCATATGGATCAATTAAATCAAGAGTTATATTTGAATTTAGTGTATTTCGAGCATCGTCGTCAGTAACAGTGAAATTAATGATCGGAGTATTCAATGGATAATCTTCAGAGATCTGAGGAGTATAATAAGTTTGTTTAAAAGTTGGAATTTTATCGTTGATATCAATGACATAAATTTCAATTTCAACATGTGATTGTAATTGCCAACCACTTAATTCTTTCACAACACCTAAAATTCAAAATATAATTTTAATAAAAGTTCCGAGCTTCACGTTTCACATAGAACAATGATTTCCATGCCTTCAAAGCGCTAACCACGACTGGAAGAGAAATTCTTTCATTGGCGCAAACACTTTCTTAAAGATTTCCAGAAGGCTCGTAAGAGCTAACTGTTCAGCAATAATATAAAGTCTGTCGAAGAGTGACACTTCGGAACTTTCTCATCGTCACTTTCGAGATCTTCTATGAGCCTCTCCTACGCACGCGTCTCAGGCTAGATCTCCAATGAATAAATTTACCTGTGAAATATTTTGTATTATTATTATGTTGATCTGAATATCGTAGCATTTTTAAAATTTTAATTGATCCTTCAGTTTCATCAATTTTAAATTCATACATATCTCCACTGTTTCCGCTCATTGACGGGCGATTTGGTTGTGAACCATCAATAATTGATTGTTGTAGAAAATATCTTAGATTTTCACTTTTGGTTGAAAATGATTTTGCTCTTATAGTTCCAATTATACTCGATGGTTGAGTATATTCGCTAACATTGAAAACGTAACGTTCCTTAAAAAACCTCGGTTCAAATCGATCAGTACGAATAACTAAATGAGCTTCATTCGAACGAGACATTGATAAAACTTGTGAATTCAAATCGATGGCTCGCACAGTTAAATTATATGTGGGCGAAAGTAATTGTTGATTTGAATGTGTTGTTAATGTACCATCCGATGATAAATGAAATAGATTTTTATCGCCTTGTACAATTTCATAGGTTAATTTTGATGTTGTATCAGGATCGAAAGCTTTAAAACGAAAAACAGATGTTTCAGGCCGAGCACTTTTTTCAACATAACCAAAATAGGTCCCATATTGATATGGTTCATCCATAATCCAACGTGGCGGTTCATCATTAATATCATCGATAATCAATTGTATATCTTCAGTTTTATTAACACGTGTTAAATTCATCCCACCATTTTGTTGTTCTAATATTAAACAATGAAATTGAAACGTGACCGTTTGAAAATATTCATAATCGAATGGACGTAAAACTGATAATAATCCTTTTTCGTTGATATGAAGACGTTCACGTAGAAATGATTCATATTTCATTGGAAATTGAAATGTTTGTTCTAAATGATCTTTTGATGTTTGTTCACGGCAATATTTTATTTCCGATATTGAGCCAATATAGGATTCATTAAAACGAATTGTTATACGACTTGGCGGTTGAACTGATTGTTGACGGCGATGACGATTTGATTGAGTCTAAAAAGAAAATATTTTAAATTATTATTAATCATATATACCTAATCGGAAGTAATTAGAAATGTATTTTGCTTCGATGATTTTCTGACTTAGTTCTTATAATTAGTTCTTCAAACGAGAAAAAGTGTCCTCTTTGACTAACTGACAACTCACAGCGGCATTTTCTTTTATTAGATTCTTTGCATATGCTGCTGCTACTCAGCGGGAGTTTCTCAACATGTTACTCGAGGCGTCCTTTACATGACACTGTAAACATATCGTGAGAAACATTATTTTAATGGGAAAACTAGTCATGGTATTATAAAATGCACTTTTACTCTTGTTTAGAACTCTTTATGTGAAAATCAACAAGTGTCTATTATGTAGGACAAAATAGGTGTAAAATTAAATACTCATTATTGCGTTTGATGGTTAGAGGGGTTCATTTTTGTAACATCTCTCTCTCTCTCTCTATTAAACATGACTTTGCGGTACTTACAAAAGGAATAGTATGTAGAGAAATGGGTCAAATTAATCAACGAAAAAAGTTACGAAAAAACACAGTTAAAATTTCAAGTGTACTAAAAGCTTATGATTCACTTCAATGTAGACACTTTATTTGACATAAGCCTTACAAAAGCATCAGTCGGATTGATTAATCTCTTTAGGTTTTAGATTCTATTCATAAAAATAGACCTCACAAGATTATGACAAAATTAAGACATGTTTAATATTTCTTCGAGCTCTACTAGAATTTCATTTATACAACATGATATTTTGTTAATAAATTTATTGATGATAAAAACCATAGCTGAAAATGAATCGTTATAACTCTATAGAGAACATTTATACTTTAGGGTGTATACTCTAAAAGTAATTATTCGCTTCAAGCAGCTTCTTTATTAGGAAACCTTAAGAGATCGTCGAATATATTCGACAACAACAAAAAGTCTATTTGTCTTTTCATTTTGTTTGCCGTCGAGTAGAAGTTCTCAAGTAAAAAATCATTATTTATTTTACTTCAAAAAAAATATTTAGGTTCAGTATTGTTCACATCAGAGTCTTCCGGTAGCGCTCTTAATTAGCGATACGAAATAAAGACAAGAATATTTTTTTGTCTGAACAAAAACCGGAAGCGAATGTCACATCTCATCAGACGATAAATCGTGATGTTTAACTGTTCTAGACCTTTTCTCCTAATTTCATAAGCAACTATTCATTTAATCAAGCGACATTTGCCAATAGGGAATTAATCACTTGATCTATTCTATCTTCTATAACAAAACATAACTCTTTTCTTTGGTACGCGCTTATCATATAACCTTTCATAATAAGTAATTAAAAAATCTTACCATCGATATTTTTTCTTGTTGATAATTAATTCTTTTTCTTCTGTCTTCGCCAATTCGATTAATCCAATCAATATTTGTAGTTTTAATAGAATTTTTAAAACAAATTTGATCAAATATTATTTTAGCATACGCATGTTTCGTTTTATCAAATACATCATAGCATTTAATAAGCAGTTCATGTAAATTTGTGCATTGATTTGTCGACGAAGATATTTCTCCTGTTCTTTGATTAATATTCAATGGTACCGATGAATCAATAAATTCATAATTAACAATCGACGGTGATAAACATTCGATCCTAGGGAATCGATGTACGGAAAATGACATCGGATCAATATGATAAACTGGAGACGTAAAAACTGCATCGTTCGATGTATCGATAATTGCGTAGTAAATTTTAAGAATCGACGACTACAAAGAAAACATCAAATCCGTACGAATTATTTTTATATACACATTAACCAGGCAAATTAACCTCTACCCCCTCGCTATTATTTTTGTTGCTACTAAACTAGTGTCTGTTGTATAGGAACAAAACGGTCCAACTTCGCGTGTAGACTACAGTAATGTGACATCGAACAATTTGATTAGATCAGAGTAGAATATTAAAAAAAAAAGATTTTCTTTACTTGATTTCGATTTATTGTACATAGTAATTGTTGTTGCTGCTTGAAATTTCTATTTCGTATGGTTTTATTTAATATTAAATCACCATATTTTGTATCAATATCGATATTTAATTCGCGGCTTTGCTGTAAACATTGAGTAAATTCATTGGATCGACTTGGCTTTGTTTCTTCAAGTAAGACAAAACCACGTTGAGCATTCTTTGGCACAATTAAAACATCGGTATTAATCGATAATAATTCTACTAATGGCGGGAGAAGGAAAAATAAAGCTATTAAATAAAATAGATGATGATAATACATTGTATCTATTTGTATTTCTAAAAAGAAACAACTAAAAAACAAAATTAAAGCTAACAGAATAGAGTTCACTAACAATAGACTAGCGCGGACACTTGTAGAAAGAGAGTATGTTGAGAAAAGAAAGAAGGATGTGTGTGCGTATGTGTGTCTGTTCTGTTCAATGATGATGAACCAGTTCTGTACGTACACGCTTAGCCTCATTCGCCATCCACAAATTGAGCCGGTCATAAAGAGAAAAGAAAGGAAAAAAAGGGAGAGGAGAGATATACATGTATACGCATATATAGTTACTCCAGCCGCCGTAAAATGATCGATTTTTATTGTCCAAACGAGTGCGGGTGAACGAACGAATGGTAGGTCGCAAGAAAAAAGGAAGAGACAAGGACGGCAGCACGAACGTACAATATATATATATATATACATTTGTGTTCGACCCTCAAGAGTCAAATGAACAGACGAGAAGAACGAGAAAGCATCGCCAGATGGCCAGTCAACTCAATGTTCGATTTGTCTTTCTAGCATTAGGATGTATGTTTTAGCAAATAATAAAAAGCTAGAACATAGCGTAGCCACTATAAAACAAAGCAGATGACAGCCACGATAAGGCGTAAGACATATCGCCAAAGATTATTTCTCGAACATAATTTCTTTGCCTTCTATACAAATAGACAAGAAAAAAAGAAAAAATTTGTCTGCATTATCAGGTCACTATAACATCAATTACCTAGAGGATGATTTGAGTAGTGAAGAAAAAAAGAAGATCTATTGCTCAATCTATTTTTTATATAATCAAGAATGTTTATTTAAATCATGATTTTTTTATGACATGAATTTTTGACATATGAAAACAATGTTTTTCTTTATCACGTAAAATAAAATGTTTTGTACTTCGTTATATATTTCCTATTCTGTATGTTATATACCCTTTAGTGCCGAATTGTTTGAAGTATATAGTTCCGTCTATCACACCTCGTTCGATCATTTTTATTATTCTATTGTCCTCACCTCATCATATCAAACGCATTCGGGCGTCAAACACAAACAAGAGACGACGACTATGCATCTAAGGCTCCCTCTTCTTTTCTTTCTTACGCTTACAGTCATGAGCTTATTGTTGAGCATATATGCAGTAAAAAAACCGAGTCGTCTACAGTTCTCGTTTACTTATAACGACAAGAAGAAGAAGAAGAAGAAGAAGAAGAAGATAAAGAACAAAAGAAGAAAACTTCTATATAGTGAATGCAAAAGAAACGAGTTCCATCGTTCGCCAAACGTACATATAAATGAAGAGTGAGCGTTCAGCAGCTGCAACGGCAGGATGAACTTTTGAGCAAGCAAGAGAGAAAGAAAAAAATCGAGAGAATAAAAGAAGGTCATGAGCGCGAGCAAACGAGCGACAAGAGAAGTTATTCTGTAGTAAGCAGATATAGCGCTTCTCCAATTACGAATAATGACATTCTGATATCTATATGTATGGCAGACACGCGACACAATGAATTGTAGTATATTCATACGTCTGGTGCTTTTTGACGTGTTTCGGTTTCTTTTTTTGTTATAATAAATGTACAGAGGAATAATTAAATGACATTTAACCAATGCAATCTTCATCTTTGACCCATATCCAAATAAACATATTGCGATAACAGCAGGGAATAAATGCTTATGGCTTATAGACACAAAGAGGCAATAATGAAAAATGACCGTCTGCAGTAATCAAAAAATGGCAACCTGTTGGGAAAATGAATTAAAGATGATAAGAAACAAATAAATATTTCTTTCTTGTTTTTTAATTGTATCCGAAATAAATCGATTCATTATAGAGCAGAACGCTGCATACAGTGGATGTTACTTTTCATCAAGCGTCATCACAAAACAGAAAATGCAATTTTTTATTCTATCAAAGTCAAAGTAGAATCGAAAACTGACAAACGAAAGAATCTTGATTAATGAAAAACATAAAGAACTGAATGGTGTTATTTTTGATTGAATGAACACATCATGTTTATTATATTCATTCTATGTAGCCTAGTTACAATGAAAGATACTCGAAGAGAGAGAACCTATTCAATTGTTAAAAAAATATAAAAATGACTTATTCAAAGTGTCTGTTATAGGTGAAGAAACATTTCAAAAAAATAAATAGAAACTGTCAAGATGACAGAACATCGAACAGAGAGTTACTTTTATTTTGAGTTCATTGCATTAAAACAAAACAAAAACGGCTACACATGATAGTGTTGAAAAGCTAATTTAATTCAGTAGAACTTGATTATATATCGAGATAAAAAATAAATTTCTATATCGTTGTCAGTCATGCATGATTGCTCATAATTTATCACAAATTGCCAAACCTATGAACATTATTTATAATCGAATATTCGAACAAATACGAAGAGAAACAAAATCGTAATACTAATATCGATATAAACTTCGTGAAATAGTTCGATTCATTGTTCGTTATTAGGTCGACGAAATATATTAATTCTTGATAGTTCGATCTGAGTTTTAACTTCATAGAAACTTGTTTTAATATGCAGCCAAACAAAATCAAAATAGGACCATGAAAAAGCAAATAAAATTTGCAGAAGATTATCAAGATAATTTACTAGAGGTAGATGAACGAATAGAAGTTGTACGAAACGATAAATCATCGGGAATATAATTACTAATGTACATATGAATGTTATCATTGCAGTTGAGATTGGTAGTAAGAAATAGTTGTTATAGCAAGCATAAACATAAACGCTAACTATTATACTTGTACATAAGGATGTTAACATTCTTAGACTTTCTAACCCATGTGTTAATAATAATCGGCCGATAAGTAAATAACTCAATAGAGATAGTATTAAACGTAAGAAAATATCTAATGGACGTATTGTTAGAAGGCAAATGGTGATTAACATGTTGCATAAATGTAATATAAAACATTTAGTCGGTTCATGAATATATGTGATACTAAAATATGTTTTAATAAATTGAGATATTTTCTGGTTGATTGTTTCTCGAAGTACTTGTAATTTTGATCCAATACGATTGCAGGACTTAATAGTTGAACGGCGTAGTACATGATATAACAATGGATAGATCAAAGCGAAATAGAATGTTAAGTTCATAGTTAAAAGGAAAAATTTCGAAATGAAATGATCGTCAATACGTTGATAAACAATCGATTTACTGAGAATGATTAATGAAAATAAAAACATAATCATGCTCGGCTGAAACGATATTAAATATGTTAAATTTGAATATAGATAAATAAATAGAAAATTTATCATTGCTATTGTTAATATCCAAGAAACATTATCGCTTAAACAAGCCATAAAAACATGATATATCAAATAGAATGTGATAAATAAATTAACAGCTTCGCAATAAAATCGTTTATAGTAATTATTTGATTCAAAAAATGCTCGAAAATTTAATAATGTCATGTTATGTATAAATTGTTGAACTGAATTACATGTTAAAAGATTGTTCAATAATGGAAATAAAAATGTTGTCAATAAAAGTGTTAACGGAATATTTAAAAATGATTTTATTGGCGCTATATAATATTGTATTATAATTGCAAATATAAACGGATGAAGATCCCGATCGATGGCTTCAAGTATATGCCATAATGTTGTCGTTACAAGAATTATTGTAGTTATTGCAATGCATGAATTAAAACTAATGCCAAAGAATAAATATGAATATATTTCATAGCCACAAAAAATTGCTGGGCCTATTGAACCATATTTTAACATCATATGAATACTTTCAATGGGCCATAGTTTTTGATTCGATTGAAATGTCCACGTTGATGGTAGTATTTGACGAAGTTTTGTACTTTGTGGTCGAAGAATTTGGTCAGAGAAAAAGGCGACAATTTTAAACCAATATTTAACTGATTTATTTATAATAGGTAGAATATAGATGAGTAGAAATGGTATTATGTACCAATAGTTGAGAAGAAAAATCGATAAGCCACTTGTTAACCAAACGAGCGTATGTTGGCAATGATATCTATAACATACTTGAGCGCCAAGTGCTAAACTAATGATTGAAGCTGACATTTTAAGGAGAATATCATTTTCATAAGCATAGTACATGAGATTTTTAGCATAAAGTTTTAAAACCGTAAATGGTCCGACAATCGCATACATCAACAGAATGAGCGGTGACGCCATGTTGTTATTAAGTTTGCGACACTGCAGCTCGAAGAAAACGATGAAAATTTATGCTTCTTCTCGCACACCGTCTGTATGTGACATGCACGTAGCATTTTTTTTTCACCTGTAGGAATGCAATAAAATCGTGCGACTACAATCGTGTGACAAATAGAAAGCACATTGCGTATGTATTGCAGTTATTTGTGCAATGTTTTTGTATTATGAAAACCGTAAAGTTTATAGACGGTTGAATCGTGTTTTTTATCCTGCTGCTTTTAATATATATTTATTTATAAATAAGCGTATTGGCTTTGCTATATATCAAATAAGAAATTATATAAAAACAAAAGAAACAATAATATACACATTAATCTTTTTTTAAATTTATTGATCTCTCTCATTCTAAGATATAAATTGTTTATTTTTTTTTAATGTACCGTGGACTAATTGTGATTTCGCTAATGTTAAACGTCTTTCTAGATTTTGGATTTCTCGTTCAAGTAGATTTTCTCCATTTTTATGTGATAAAAGTGTGTGTATTGGACTATTATTCAAAGTTGAGTGTCGAGCTAAAGAAGAAGAAGAAGTAAATTCATTATGTAAAGAAACTTGTCGGCTTCTCTCGTGCTAATATTTACAGTCGTTTAGGTCGAAATTCTTTGATTTATCCATTAATAAAAATGTTTTTGCCGTGGCTAATTCAAGTTTTAATTCATTTTGACGATGTTTCAATAGCGATACACATTGTTGACGAAGAGATTTATCACGAAGCTAGAAAGAAACAATAGATGAATATAATATTCTTCTTTTCAAACTTACAATAGGACTATTCCATGATGTGCTCGGATTTGAACGTCGCTCGTCTAATAACAATAAAAAGACAATAGAGTTATAGCATGTACTTGTTTTACTTGTCGATGGAATCGATCTTATTTCAATAGACAATTTGTGTCTCGTGTATCTTTCTTCAATAGTTCAACTTACCAGTCAAATTATTTGAATGGAAAGTCTAATATTGACTATCAAACGCGTATGATAAACAATCAACATTTTATCCTATTTGCAAGCAATTCATAGACCTGTATTAGTGATCTGCTTGACGAATCCGTCGTGGCCAAAGAAATAAAAAATTATTCAATAACAGTTTTATGGTGGTTGTGGAAAAATAATTCTAATTTATGTTTTGTGTTGAGAAGTTTAAGCGCTCCAAAATGATACAAAAAGATCGAGGATATATTGAACAACCGTGGAGAAAACTTCATCACATTCGTCGTGACCAAAATTGGTCACAACGAACATACCGCAGTTGTCTCCGCTGCAGATGAACGTATCCTCAATCTTCTTGTGTCGTTTTGAAGAGCTTAAAATGCTGAATACAAAACATCAATTAGAATTATTTTCCCACAACCACCATAGAAACTGTTGTTGAATAATCTTTTATTTCTTTGACCACGACGGATTGGTCACGCAGATCACTAGCCTGGATTTGGCATTGAATAGGTTTCATAAAGAAAGTCTTCAAACTGATTGCATTGCTTTTGGGTCGAAAGCCTGTATATCATCGCATACACATTCTAATGAGTTATAAATACTTGGACAAGGCTTCATGTTCTTAGCTTGTTGATGTCGAAGGACTACATTCTAAAGGTTTCTTCGAAAGTGAACGTTGTTGCTGAGAAAAATGATATTTTGATTTTCAACTTGGAATAATCTACCTATGTATAGAAATGATGTGGAACATCTAATTTTACTATCTTATAAGAAAAATTCGTCAAGTAATATTCTTGAGAAATACCTCGAACATGTCGTGAAAAGTATCTTTCTCGCATAAGAACCTTATAATAGTACTAAACTTAATGTAAGAATTCTTTTCAAGATACTTACAACTGATTACGACTTACACATATGCTAAATTAAAGACCATATGCTACAGGTTAACTAATGCAAAACACCACGAGAGTAGACAAGATTGTTTCGGTGATGTTTAGTTGTGCACTTTGCACAACTCTTACATGTCAACTTACGACGTTAGGTGTTACAAAATATCAGACAAATAAAAATAACATACTTCAATAACTTCTTATATTCTCAAGCGGCGTACTGTTTGAGACAATATTACTTTGCAGATGATCAAATTTAAAGATGCACTGAATTTTGTCGAAAATACTCCTGAAAGATTTATTTTTGTATTTTAAAACTATTGTATTCGTCGCGTCCCTTCAAAACTATCTTCAATGAATATTTAACATAGCTATAACCTTGAATAGATGCATGTTCTGTTTTGAAAAAATACATTATACGGATGCATTTCAATCTATGATGATAGTCGTACTTTCAAAAATTGAATCAAAGAAACTATTCGTGTGCACTATAATGAATTGTTGCTTAGCGTATTTAAAAACAAAACGCCCTTTTCTTATTGTATATTATTATAAAATATTTCTCAAACCTTTTCGCATGGATTTATTTCTCAATCGAATGGAATTGCTTTCATTATTGGCCATAATTGGTGTTGATGCTATTAATTCTTCGAATGCTGCATTACTCATAGATTCATAACCACTTGAACTAGCACGTCCAGATGCTGACGAAGCTGTACTACTTGTCGTTAATGGCATTAGATCATCGTGTGAATCTAATGTAACTGTTAACGGTGAAGCCAATCGAGGAGAATCAACAACAATTGGTATTGGGTGTGGTGGTGGAATCGATGATGAACGTAAACCAAATAAACGTTGAAATATAGATGGTCGAGTAGGAGTTGGTGACATCGGTCGAATTGATTCAGGTGGATTCTTAAATTTTTTTGTTGACGACAATAACAATGAACGAGGATGTGTAGACTTAGATGGTATTCGTGATTGACGTATTTGAGATTTAATTATAGGAGAATTAGAAACTGATGAGCCAATTGATAAACCATGAAAATTTTCTGCTGTTTGTTTATGACTTTAAAACGAGAAAAGAATAAATATGAATCCATTAAATAAATATATATATATATCAAATCTACTTCAATATTTTATCAAAACGGGTTGGTGAAACGATTCTTGATAGGCGTTTGGTTATATCATCTTGGCATATTGATGATGATGATGATAATTGATCAATACGATTTAATGATTGACTTCTTGATGATTGTCTATCGCCTTGATTGGGTACAATGGGAGACGGAATCAGCAATATTTCGAGGGTTTTTTCTAGCATCTCCATATCGTCATTTAATTTATTTACACTTAATCTTAAATCAATATTTGATGATTCAGTTTTCAAAGGTTTTGTTATTTGTACTAATTGATTTGAACGAAATGGTAATAATGTATGATCTTTAAATACAGGTAATACAGGTAAATGACAATGTGAACTAATAACGGATTCACTATCGAAATTTGCCGATGATGATTCATTATTTTCCTGTTGAAGAATCGTCGAACAGAGAACTGGCGGTGCTAGCTGAGGTTTTGGTGAAAGAATTGGAGTTTTAGCCTTTGATTTATAGTGACGGTGTGAACTAGAACGCGGTTTTAATTTCGACTTTTTATGCCGAAGTTTTGATGTAGGCGAATAAAATTCTATCGGGCCATCGATCCAAATTTCGGATTTCGGCTTCGTTGTACTCAATGGTCCATCAATCCATATTTCTTCGTTATTACGATTAATAACAGTTTCGACTGATGATGAATCAGTACGATCTTGAGACATCTAAACAAATAAAAAATTTTTATCGACTTGAAAAATCTTTCGGTTTCATCTTTTAGACGTAAAAAAACAGCACGATGAACCTTGATATCATAAAGTAATTAGAAGTTTGTCGACCTTCCTGTACACAAGCTCGAAGGTCAACGTATGCTTTTCATTTAGAGGAGAATATTACACTGTTGGTAGTAACGCTCATGGCGTTTGACTTGCTGATTGTCATTCGCTATCAAGTACAAATATTTCATGTCAACTACTTGCAATCTGCCAAATTCCTGCAGTTATATTCTATGCAGGAGAGTTGATGATTAGGCGATTCGGACTGTTTACGTTGAAAATTTTCCTCGGTGAGCTCGTCTGTACGAATATCGTCTGTTTCCGGAAAGTTCCATGTTTACAACTATTGTTGCAGTTAAAAAAAGCGTCCTAGATAATTAAAACGTCACTAAAAATGCAAGATTCAGCAGATTAGATCTCTTATCTGTCATAGCGCAAACACATGCCGAACTATTTTTAGTGATAACTAGACTGATATAAACGCTTCAATTGAAATGCCAACCAAAATAACTAACAAGAAAAATCGAAGTAATTTTATTTAATAAAGACGTCAGCTGTTCGATATAAAAATTTGCGTTCGAGTGAGTGTCATATATTCTTGATTATATAGTGCTTCACAATTTTACTTATGAAATACAAGTCGATATCATAAAATACTTTTCTTAGGCGTCGATTACGAGTTTGAAAATTAAGAATTAGTAAAAATATTATTCTACATCCCTATAAATCAAGCGATTAAAACTCCGATAGGAGATTAAAACGATATCTGTTATTGTCAATCCAATGAAGTCCTTTTTTGTTCGAAGATTACATATTCTTCTTACTGACTTCTTACAAACTCTCGCAAAATCACAGCCATGATTACATCTCGAACTGCTATTCATCCTATATGAAACCCAACATCGGACAACTTATGATGACCGGAGTCGAACAATATTATGCACGCATCTAATTCAACCTTTGATAAACAATCCGGTGCGTAATTGATCAATAACTCTAATCTGTCTATACATCAAATTTAACGATCTTAACGAATTTTGCTCACTATAAAAAACACTACTCTTTTCCTAAAATATTCTTATTTCCTATTGACACATTCTATCATTGTGTTTTGTTTTCTTTTTACCTTGCATCGATATTTTTTTATTCGTAATAATCGTTGAATTTTAATCCAATACTTTAATTGTTTATCATTTTTCACATTTGCAAATATATACAAAAAATCTTTTGAATATTGTTCAACATTATTTAATACATATTCACGTAAGAATGATGATAATGATTGTTCACTTGTTAGATTACGTTTTCTATATTACACAAATTAATAGTATAGACAACATTGGGTAAAAACATTACAACAACAATCGTTATAATAAATAAAACTTACTTTGATATATTAAATGATGTTTTCTGCCGATTGGACGAGAGTGATAATGCCAACGACATGAAAATCTCGGAAAATTTTTCTTTCTGTATTGCATTATCACTATCATTAGTCAATAGTATATGAAATCGAGTGAAATTAGTATTGGTTGAACGATATATAAGATGAAATGTAATTAATAATGGATTATAACGATGATCTGAACAAAGGTTATTTAAAGATTGTAGTGTTTCATTACGGGAATATGCAAGCGAATCTCTTGATGATAATAAATGGTTTACTATTAGATAATAAAAATATTTTATTTTTTGAGAAAATTTTATTTTTTTAATTTATATTTACTTTCAGATGATTTGGGATTTAAATACTCTTGTGCGCTTATGCGAAGTGTTAAATTCTTGTCTTGATCCCTGTTAACTAGAGCCTCTAAACGTATAAATGTTGATGATAGGATTGTCGTTTGAAGCTGATGAACTGAAAACAAAAAACACCAATAAATTAAACCTATTCATAATTTAAAACCGAGGACAAGAAGCAATAGTATCGATTACTTGCCTTCTCTAGAATTTCCACAAAGAATAAGTAATGTATTGCAAGAATTCTTTATTAAACGTGGTGTACATTCATCAAGTATACGTTCACTAATGTTCGTTGTCTGTTCATTATTACAGAAGATCTCATCAAATAATTGCTTTTGCTTGTCATCTAGTGGGCATAAACAACGTAAGCCAAGTTTAATCTAAACAATGCCATAGAAAGAAATAGAAAGTATACAAAAGAAGAAGAAGAAAAAAAACAAAGATTTCTAGTCATGTCTCAGAGTTCATTAGTGATTCGATTTGAACATAGCCTTTTCTTAGTGTTGCATTAGTTATTTCATGGAGACGGATGTCATCGGTCAATCGAGAAAAGAGAAAAAATACTACCATAAGTGACTTCTATATTGAATTATTCACAGCTAAGACAAAAAAAAGGATACTATTGTTAACTAAGCAACTGTATATCGTGTTAATAATGTAAATATAAAAATTATTGGAAGTTTTCATTCTTACTCGTGATGGTGGCGAAAATTTTTTTTGATAATTAGTATTGTCATAAATACTTGAATTAATATCAGCTATAATACACGATTGAAGATGTCTGACAAGTGAAGAAGACGACGTTGGCGTTTGGTCTTGTTGTTGCATAAGGTCGATTGAATGCTTGGGGTCAACGTCGATCATCATTCGTTGTTTCGATAAGGACAAACTACAAATGAAATGATGAAAGGAGACATGGCTCTAATTTCTACTTGATTAAACGAGCAACGGGCAAGAGAGAGAGAGAGAGAGAGAGAAGGAGAAAAAAAGAAATGTGTCATCTCTTTGTTATAGTGAATGACGCAAGTATAGAAGTATTATAAAAGCAAATATACATCACATCTGTATGTATTGAACACGTATGTGCAAGGTTATACATGATCTCTACTGACATTCTTCAACAGGAATTGAGTTTCACTCTGTGATATATATACATATGCAAAAGATGACTTCATTATTGTACTGTTTTATGTAAATATTTCATTTCTTCTCGTTTGCATCAACGGCACTCTTATACTATACTCTAATTTAAAGAGATGTTGTTCATGCTCTAGAAATACTAATGAAGTTTTTCTTAAAAGCGTTTTCTTTCTGTTTTTTGTGTGTTCCATCCGATTATCTTAGTCTAGATAACAGCGAGGGGATGCCGATGAAAATAACAACCACACCTATCGACAATCAATCAGGATATCATATGACAGGATATCTCGCAAATTCTTAACGATGAAGGATAGACATGAGTACATTGAGACAACAAAGAAAATGGAAGACTTGGTTTCTAGCACTATGCTTGTCACAAAGAAAAATAAGTGATGATATTCAGTTAATATTTGTTAGCCATAACATATTCTAGACATCATTGATATACAAAAAGAAAGCGACTCTNACGTACTATACTAGAACTACTATTGGCTTTAAGGTCGATTATAGAAGAAAAAACGTTGTTCTCCATAAAAGACGTATACTTCCTTGCTCTCTCTCTCTCTCTTCTCGTTGCTCTTTCTATATAAAAATGACAAGTCAATTGACGAACAGACCGAGAAAAGATATAAGATGACAACTAATGATAGGGAGTTTCAACGCAATCTTGTTAGAAATATATTATGCGAATAACTTCATAGGAGAACTTATTTTCTAAATCTATCACAATTGTCTGTTTATAGAACCTTACTGTTCACACGTATTGAAAAACAAATAAACAAGATAATTCATTACTTATGTGACAGTATTAATCAAAAGCACAGACATATGATTAGTAGTTACATTCAACTTGCCGTTTGAACCTTGATCACATATGTAACACAAGACCTGTTAAGCTTATTTGTGTTTATGTCTATTCATTGTCAATTAAATCTACCGTAACTAGTAAGCGTAGTTGTCTTTTATTCAGGAGTCGATGCCAGTTACTAATATGAAAAAGAAACGCTACACGCTTTTTAAGTATCTTGTATTTTGTTTATAATAACGACATAGCGTGACCATCTGTCTTGCTTCGATACGACAAGTCTTCTATCATAAATAAGTATGTGAGAAAAAAAAATAATTAATTTCTATCACACAAAACAACATAAAAAATATATGTCGTTACCACTCGATAAAATGCAACTATCAAGGATATATCTGTATTTAAAAAAAGTAAATTTTTCTTTCAGCCTTGATAGTAAAGAAATGTCTATAAACAGTAGTGAAATAAATCAGTTAGGAAAAAAACGAGAGAGCAAGGAAGTATACGTCTTTTATGGAGAACAACGTTTTTTCTTCTATAATCGACCTTAAAGCCAATAGTAGTTCTAGTATAGTACGTAGTCATTCAATGAATATGATGTAATCAGACAAAAGTAGTCGGTTGAGCACAGCGTTTACATCCGGGTTCAAAACTATCGTTTCATTTAACAAAGAGAAAAAGAAAGAAAAAAAAAGAAGAATGAACATTTCGAAGACATAGGTGTCATAAGAAGTGCTCGTTGCTTAACTAATAAGCAGCGTACATGCGCATACTTTCTCTAGTTCGATTGCCTACTTACTTATTGAATAGAAAATGAGAGATCTATGGTTTTATTATGAGGTGGGGGATGATGGTCAGCACAGCAAATACTCGATGGAATTGCTGTTAGCTATCGTTTGTTGTGAATGAAGATGATTATAATTTCCGCGTCTTTTGTAGTCGATAATGAATGATGATGTAAATTAAGATCACGACATGTCCTTCGCACAGGCGACAATGATACTAACTAACGGATGCGTAAATGGACTACGAAGACATTTACAAGTAAATCTTTTTCTCCTCTTACTTGATCAAATCTTATGATTAACCGCCTCATTAATCGACATATACATTCGCGAAAAAAAAGATAGAAAGAACAAGAAAAAAAAAACTTTCAAGCATGAATAGAATACGTAATGTGCAACCAGAGCGAAAGCGAGACATACAAGACGCAAGATAATAATGATCTGCCTATGAACACTCAACGTGAATGACCTTTCGCGTATGGCGATAACTTTAAAAGATTTAAATGGATTAAATCTGACAAATTAATCCACTCCGCCTTATTTGGCTTCATATTGTGAGAAGTTTAAGCCTAGACATCTACACATACTGTGAAGTGTTAATGACATAGATATTTAGATGATCTACTATTGTCGGCGGTGGAGTTGAAAGAAAAAAGATACTGTTCTCATAATCGATGTCTGGTTATTCATTGTCTGAGAAAAACAGCTGACCTTGCTTATTCAATCTTCTGTCTTCACCATATCAAGACACTAAACAATGTTCATCATTTGCTACTCAATAGATAAGAGAAAGAGTAAATATCTTTCTCCTCATGTCTATGTACAAATCTAGGCTATCATTCAAGTTTGACCGATCATACAAACAAAATTAGATTATTGACAATAGTGAACAGTTTCAAGAGAAGATTACATTTCTGTATAATCATATTTATCTTACTTTGATATACGACGATGATCGTGTTTCATATAATGATGATAATTGTTGTTGAGAATAGTGGATCGAAAATTTGATGAATTATTGTTAACGGCAACAGGACGACGATACTGTAATAATAACTCATGCAATAAAAGAAGACGAGACAAATATTTGAGTGTGCAAGGTTATAGAATAGAAGAAGAAGAAGAAGAAGAAGGAAAAAAGAAAAGACATTTATAAGCATTGTGGGAAGAGAAAAACGACAATTTTTGCTTTTAGACATATCAAATTGTCTTTTCTTTTTATCTAAATACGTAGCAAAATGGATTGGATAAATATGCTGCTTACTTTATGGTCATCGTGATCACCATCTTTTCTTTGATTGCATGGACGATTGATACAATTTAATTGTTCATCGAACATTGAACAATGATTCGATGTGTAAAACTTGACGAAATAATCGTTGACAATAGGCAATGATTTTATAAAACTAAAACAAATGCAATAACACTTTGGATATTTCTCTTGCTTTTATATTTACTTTTGAGGATATAGGATCTGTAGACAATTTACATATTATATGTAATATAGGAAGACCTTGTTTTTCCCCTCGATTCTCTTTTTTTCATATTCTTAAATGGGCTCTCTCTCTTTCAAATGAGTGTTAAAGATGAACATTATCATTGCGAACTTTTGCTTACCTTGTTGATTGAGCAGGCATTGCAAGTGATGCTCGTTTGTTATTATTTCGTGTATTAATGATCAACGATTGTAGCGAGTTCATTTTGAATAGGACAGAATCGATTGATTTTATTCTTTGCGGAAGACGAAGAAGGAAAAAAAGTTAAAGTACATACTTCATACAATATGAAAGAGTAAAGAAGGTCGGTAGCACGAAAATCTAACGAGCGCCTGCTCTTTAGTCACACTTGATGATCAATACACGCGCTCTTAAGAAACAAACGGCTTAGATCTACTGTTGTGTCACACGTTTTCCTTTCATCATCTAAACTCAAAACATAGGTCATCTTAATTGAGATAGTGAACGGCGTGGCACGCGGTACGTAGACGCACACACATATATGTATATGTATATTTGTGTGTAGATAAAAAAGAAAAAAAGACAATCAATGACATGAATTAATTTGCCTTGACTCGGTTTCAAGAGCGAAGAGGGAAAAAAGGAAATTCATTTTTTTCCGGCTTCATCTTACTGACCTTGTTCGTATGACATCGGTTCGACATTAGAGAGATCGCCGATGGCGACAGTATTCTTACAATTCAAACCACGTTCGTGTATGAGAACGAGAGCATCAAATGGAAAATTCAATAAAATGTTTTAACGAGAAAATGAGAGAGAGAGAAATCTATAACGATACTATTCAATCAATTCTGAAGTCTGACAAATATGTTAGCTTGAAAAGTGAGTAAGACTTATTTTTCTCCATTATACAGTTCATTATCAAGATTAATGATTCATAGAAATTCACCTTTTGCTTCTCGGCACATGGAAAACTTTTTTTTACATTTTGTCTTCTTTCTCTATTAATAATGATGAATTGATCGAGTTCTCACCCTTTTTGCATCACACACTCTCCTACTCACCAGATGCGATGTCAGACAATGTACTCATACATCTCCTTTCATTCTTATCATCATCGGTAATATCAATTGTACTGTGTATGATGTGATGTATGTGTATCTACTCTACTTGAAATTCTTCCGCTCTCTTAAACAACATAGAACTTCTGTCTTATTCCAGGTGACTATAAGTCGAATGGCTCTCTCTCATCCACTTTAATCACACGGCGCAAAATCACCGTCATCAACATGTCATCATTACATACTCGTGTACACGCGTACCCTCATACTCACACAAAGTACAAATATACATTTATGAACAAAAGGAGAAATGCATATAAATGAAAAGAAAAATCGCGAATAGAAAAGGAGACTTGACATCTCAATTGAAATCGGACATTATGTACTATAAAGTAGTAAGAGTGATAAAACAAGATGTTGCCTCACGCATCATGTAGTGATCTAAGTGAATAGGAAATAATTAGATGGCGACGCGACAGACTAAATTTTTATATTTGTTTCGATTACGAACGGAGAGACAGAGACAGACACAGAAACAGAGAGAGAGAGAGAGAAATCTACGGATCACTCACAAAACGAAATGAGACGAAAGGCTTAACTAATTGTTGTCGCCAATAATTATGTAAAAAGTCTTATTTCAACGGATATATGCACGGAATTACGTGTTCTAATAAGATCAATACGTAAATGTATGTGCTTAATTGCGTATATTAACACTATATGGTACATATAGGTGCCATTTTATCGATGCATTAGAAATTTTCTTTCAAACAGACGAATTCACTTAATTCATAGATGAAACATCTCAATTATAGACACATTTATCTTTCGTTTTCTCGTGTAATCATGACCGTATCATACACTTTATCGTTATAAACGAGTTCTTTCTTGATTGATCTATCGACAAAACTAAAAAGTAAAAATCGTATTCTTTCTCTGATGTATAGATTTATTAAGCGAATAATAAAAAACAATATTTTTCAAATAAAAAAAGATCTTTTTTTTACACCCTTCAAGTTCGTTGTATTGATTGAGCCAATGATAAGGAATCATTTTCATCTGGTAGAATTATACAACATCGCCGAATGAATCTTAAAAAGATTTGATTACACCAATTAAATGTTATTGATAATCGATTTTTTTCATTAGATGAAAGTGTATTACATTGATTTTCACTGAACATTATTGAAACTGAATGATAGTTGTTGATAAAAAGTAATAAAAATTGCGCTTGCATACAAACTTTATTCGATTTTACAACAGATACATGTTTGCATTTAAATACAAATCTTATCGTCGGTCATAATGATATTTATATAAAATATATTATTTGATTGATGCTGTGACTTTTCTTTTCAATTGTTATAGAAAATAAAGAGTAATTGTGAAGAGAGATCTTTTTACTAAAATATAACCGTGTCAATTATAATGAACATTTTCAATTAGCTAAAAAAGAAATGGCGTAATCAAGAATGTACTAGACCAGGCGACGACGCTCTATGGCTAGAGAAAAAAAGCGTAATAATTATAATTATGGACATTTTATTACATGGGTCATCCGAAAGATTCGCGTGTACTGCCCTACCCCCGACAGTCTTCTCGTTATGCCACGAAAATGAAAATGTCCATTGAATTTTGTGTGATATAAGCATCACTGTACGTAGATAATCGATGTGAAATGAGCTGATAATTGTAGAAGAAAATCGATTCATGGAATAATAATATTTCATATACAGCTGTTGGGTTTACAAATATTAAGATGGGAACTTTTCTTTTGCTAATTCAATAGAAGAATCAGAGAATAAATTATTTTTCTTTGTCATATTATCGTAATAACTTTTTTCTTTAATATCCTATACCTATATAGATAGATAGATAGACAAGTGAAATAATTCTTCATAAAGAAATCCTAGTTTGGAAATTGTGACTTACTTCTAATAGATCTTCTTATTGAGCTGCCTATAGAAAATGAAGCAAAATCTACTTTTCAAAATTATACTTTTTATTCATTAAGCAAAATCTATTAAACTTTAAGATTATATTTATTCATTAAAAATGAAACAATAGATCTGGTAGTGAGAAATTACTTCCGGCTTGGTTTATGGTTGATTGAAAATCTATTGTTGCAACTTTTTCTAACCAATCTCGTGCATTAATCCTATTTTTGACAGCGAAAATTTCTTCCTAGGAAATAACTAATATTGACGTTGAATAAATATCTTATGGAAATTCGTCTATTCCATATTGGGAATTATTCGAACGAACAATAAATCGAATATTAAGAATGAAATGAGTGAGATAAAGCATACGAGGATCTTAAAAGAACAAGATGATCTTGCGAATAAATAAAACGTTTTTCTTAATGTTTAAAATAGATTAATATCAAAGAGAAAAAAATTTTCCTTGAAATTCAAAAAATAAAACTATTACAAGACATTGGTTATGCTATGTTATAAACAATAGATATGTTATCAGTTCGTTCGTTTGTTTGTTATAGAAATATTTTTAGACTGATACATACATAGTTATTTTGACTGGCACGTTTTACAGCGCTTGTTCTTTATAAACATAGACTGATGAGAACAAATTTTGTTGGCGAAGAGTCATAAACTAACGTAAGAGGATACGCGTGATATATCGATAAAAAAAGAAGCATTCTTTTGAAAATATATTCTATGTTAAATAAAATTTTCTAGATATATTTTCTATTAAAAATATTAATGAATAAAAAAACATGTATTTGAAAAATGAAAAGAAAATCTTCGAATATTTAACATAGCATATGTATCAAGAATAGTATATGATATCGATTACAATCGAAATAAATATGTGAATAAGCGTCTGTCAATAGCTCGAGCGTTGTTTTATTAACCCTTTCCGGCTCGGTGTTGCCATATGGCAACATTTTCCCCTAGGGGGGTACGGGAATTTTCAAACAGCGGGCCGGAAAGGGTTAACTGAATATTAAAGGTATTTCTTTCGAATACTTTGAGTATCCCAGGTTGATCAAAACGGACTCGTTTACGGTCTGTTTTATATAGGTTAATTTCTGCTCCGAACGATTTATTTCGGGATAAACATGTTTAATGGAGAAAAGCGAAAAGTTTACATTTAATGCTGAAAAGTATCCAGGGTCTGTTCTCTTTCTCTCTCTCTCTCTCTGTATATATATATATATATATATACATTGTAGAAAATAAAATAGAATTTTCCATTTCTGCTCGTACAGGAACGAAAATTGTACTATAATCCAAGTTCAACATAACTTCTTATCTTTTCTTCGTGAACTGTGCCACACAAAAAATTTGTTTTCCAACCAAACGATCAATCCCTATTCAATGCTAATCAAACAAACACACACTCCTACATAGGGCATACCCCTGATTGTTCCTCTGTTACGCCCCCCGTTAATTGATTCCGAATCCTTCCCCACTCTAAATTGGCCCCCAATTATATTAATTGGCGCTTGAGTTCAAAAAATATGAATTTCTAATGTCGTTATAGTAAAGGTGAAAGACAATTTTTATTGTAAGATTAACAAGTGAATAGAAACATTTTTTTGCAACAATTAGAGAGTTAAAAAATTGTCGCCCAATCACAGAATTATATCAAGATAAAGAAAATGTACTTGTGAAATTTCGTGAACGACACCGCCAATGTATTATTGTTTTCCGTTCGCGTTTGAGAGTATATTGAAAACCACTATAGTTCAATACCTTTCTCGTTCGCTCCGTTGGAGTAAAACTGAGCATATTTCAATATGTTTACAAATAAAAAATATCGATCAGTCAGCCGTGAACACAGCCATTACATGCATCTTTCTTATGGGCTGCTGGATTATACCAGAAGAAATGAATCCGGTTGTTATTGCCACTAGCTGTGTATATAGACAGAGCGAAGAATGAACATTTCAATGTTAAATAGAGTGGGGACGAATTCGGAATCGAATTTTTGGGGATCAGTTCGGTTCAATTAAAAAGGGGACGAATTAAGACTAACCCCTACATAGAGTTTATTGTCGAGATAAATTATTAATGGTTTTACAAAAAAAAGTGATTTGTGCTAAATGAACACTTTTTCTTCTTAAAAGTTCGATGTCATTGACTAAGTACATACGCATACGTAACTCGTATAGAAAAAAAACAAGAGACGCTTGCTTAATGAGTGATTCGTTACTTAACAAATATATTCGGATGCGCTGCATGCATACCTTAACGGGTATGTTGTCAGTTAATATTAGAAAAATCAAGTCACGTGCGCATATTCGTTCTACGCTACTATCGTTGTCTGATGTACTTTTTCTTGTTCGCTACTTATTTTAGTTCGTTTTTATCCTGCTGAAATCAATGATATGCTTAAAAAATTCAAATAATAATAGTAATAATTATAATAATAACATGTACTTTTATAAATGCATTAAAAGAAACGATAATAAAAACGAAATTTGTTTTTCTTTATATATATATATATATATATATGGTCAATTCGGCCTTACACTTGTTTGATGACGAGTACCGATAACATTTATATTTTGTACTTCAATATCATATGGATCGGAGAGAGCTGCTATTGGATTAAAGTTTACAGGTATTGATACAGGATGACATCGAGCCTGATCGGTTGTTGATGATGAACGAGATAGATTTGGATTTCTCGTAAATGCATGTGAAACGATCGATGCATCAATACGCATAGGTATGTAATGTGTACCTGATGGATGCAAAACAAATATGGGTACTTTGACAGTTGAGTCGTATTCTTCAGTTGAAATTTGTCCATCACGCATTGAAGATTGATGATCATTCGGTTTATAATCTTCGACAGCTGATATGGTACATAATTTATCATCCTTTTCATTTGATGAATTAATCTTTGCCGATTGCTCTTTGGATAATGTGGCTGATTTAATTCGTTTATCTACTAATGTTAAATATTTCGTTCGTTTTCTTTCTGGCAAAACTACAACATAGAAGAAAAAACGTAGTTCAATCGTCTTTCTAAAATCAGATATTCACCTTGTAGCTCTTTTAAATCGATTTCTTTTTCTTTGAAATATTCTGTTAGATCAATAAGAAGTTGATCACAGTCGGTATATTCATTAAGAAATTCAAATACATCGGAGACTGCATTTCGATAACCGGTTTGATAGGCATCAAGATTTGATTCAGTTCTCTTAGCTAGTAGAAAGAAAAACACATCTATATATATATAGATAAATAAATATTGTTTTACAATTTTTTTCCATTGTTGCTATTAATTGGCGGATATGGTCGATAGCCATTTCAATAATTTCCGTTTTCTCAATACGCCGTTGGCTGTCATTGTTTTTATGTGGTATTAATTCTAATAATTCACTGAGACAAGAATTCATACGATCGCGACGACGTTTTTCAATTAATCGATGAGATTTTGGATCCTATTTTGTTTTTCAAAATAAAAACAATGTGTATAAAAACATTTTAAGAATTTTCATTGTAACGAACTCGTAATTGAATGTGCCTTTTTCTACGGTACGTTGTATCTTCATTATCAGTTGTACCTGCTCTTGATTTTCTTCTAATAAAAAGAAAAGAAATTAATTATTGAAGAGAAAGTTCCTAATGTACTTGGTTTGATCATTCGATTCTTCATCACCTGAATTATTCAATGAGTGATCGTCTAAAACAATTTCTAATGATGATGATGATATGTTCGAAGACAAGTAGTCGTCTGGTATTCTTCTTTCATCTTCACAACGATTTTGTAAAGCCATCTTATGATAATATCTAAAATATGTAGAATAATACTTCATACAAACCAAATCCATGATATGTTGTACTGAAAGAAAAAACACAGAGCATCGTGACCTTCATTAAACGAAGGTGAAAAAACCATTTATATCTGTCGTTCCATTTTTATTTATCGCCAATCGTTTCTCCTATACTATTGACAATGCAAAAGTAAAGAATGCTATGATATTCACGCATGATCGTTCGATTCACATGTACATATATATATATATATATATATATATATTCAAGAACGTAAAAATCATAAGATACTAATGAAGAATAGTGCATTGGTAGAAGCAGAAAACTAAGAACATATACAAGAGAATAACAAAATATGAAATAGGCGTGTAGAGAGACGAACTAGATGTAAATAAGTATCAGAGATATATCTATTCGATATCAAACACTAGCGACTTCAACTGTCATGCATCACATGTTAAACGTGCGTGCCACGCTACACGAACAAGTGAATTTTTTCGATCTTGCATTACCGAATAGAGATAAACGAAGGATGATATTATTATATACATACTACATAATAGATTCACGGCTGTGCGTATGTTCTTTTCAAATACTACTGCAGCAAGTCATTACAGTGGGAACATAGTTTGAAATAGCGTTTTCCCAGTTCAATTAATTGAAATATCATATAAATGTTAAACACTTCTTTATCTTCCATGCCCGATGTAAGGAAATTATCATAAAAAAGAAATAGATCCCATAAGCATTCTTACCGATATCGTAAGTCATGAACGCCTGTTAATAAGGAATCGCTCATGGAAACGAGCATTGCCTAGAATCTGAAGTATATCAACTAGAAAAAAAATATAAATGCTCTTCATCTTTGCTGTCTAAATGTGCGTGTCTATAAGATACTTTCTGCACAGCACGCAAATAAAAATTTTAATTCGCATGTTTTTTTATCTGATAAAAAGACGGAATAAATACGTTCGTGCCAACCTTATGCTCTTTTTTTTCTATGGAACTACTGAAATGTTCTCCTTTGTGAAGACTTAACTTCAATAAACGAAGCTGTTTGAATTTTTCTGAACTCGCTGATATTCATCTACAGATTTCCAAGGAGTTTCTAATCTATCAAAATAGTAATTCTATTTTATTCAGATCAACATACATTTTGCTTGGTCTAATCTAGTTTTCATTTTCACGTGATAAGCCTTGTACGACATATGTTGACTTCACACTAGATCCGAAACGAATTCAATCCTATACGTCTCTGTACTCATGAGCGATAAGATTAAGACAGATTGGTGTCTTACTCAAAATTGTGTAAATCTTTAGACGATAATAAAATTCTCATGAGCTCCGTACTCATATTACAATAAAGAAAACTGACGTCATTCAATGTTCTATATTTCTTTAACTGAAAAACTTGTGACATTTCACACATTTCTTTATTTCTATATGGTCAATTATCGTTTTGACAATTATTTGAAATTCAAAAGAATAACTAGAATAGACCTATGGAAATTAATGAGAGCAGACGTGCGCTCTAGTTTCAATCGTATAAATTTACCTTTTCTGTTTAGTCTAGTTAGAAATGTAATAGTAACAAGAAACGGTTGACGCAAATGCTTTTTAGTAATTGTACTGCTTCTTTTTTTCTCGTCATCTTGATTGACGTGGTAAGAAAGACAAAATATCGCGAGTAATGTTTCACAGACTAATATTCAAATATCATTTAGTAGTATCATGATAATATTAGGCACATAAATCTATACAAAATCTAATGATGAATACATGTGAGATTATACTTATGAAAATAGATTTTCGGATTTCTTAACAAAAAAAAAACACTGTTGCTGACTTGCCAAAATCTGATTGAGTGTAAATTTATTACTCGATTATTAGCGAGGTGAAAAATTGAATAGAAAGAGGCAAACTTTGCATGCTGGAGAATTAATTCAATTTTTTTCACTAAAAAATTTATTCATGTCTGCAAAATATCGCCAATGCAAAAAATTTCAGCACACAAAAAAAATCAATAATCTGCCTATGCTGATTTTTTAATCAGAAGTCTTCAGTGAAAACAAAAATGAGAGGAATAAATAGACACGTTTAGTCTAGAACATTGTACGAATCATTTTAGATTATGATGGCCTGGAAAAAAATGCTAATATTAAGTTCGAAATTATTGATTTTCCATGATTGGAGAGTATGAATTTAAATTTTATGATCTTTCTTTGCATGAATACTGATTAAAATGATGTTTATTCGCGTATTATCAACAACTAAAATTAAGATTTGCAAGATTAATTCAGTAAAAACTTTATTCAAAGGCGTGGCATGATTTCCTGTTCTTTCAAAACGTTCATTATAGGAACAAAAATTCCAATTATACTTTGTGTATTGCACTTAAGTCAGGAGATTTACATTTTCCTGTTGAGTCTTAAAACTTTTTTTCCTCGCCCTTATCGATGTACTACATAACTCATATAGAAAAGTGATTTGATTCTATAATGTGCGTTACTTTGAATATCTACGTTGAATATCAAACGGCCTCTTTTGTTAGCTTTTAAAATAACTAAAAAATCAACAAGTGAATATTACGTGAAGAAGTGTTTATAAACAGCATTTAAACTGTGACGCAAATCCTGACGGAGCAAACACGTCGACGCATTGTTACTCGGATAAATAGATTTACTTTTGAACTAGTGGCATGCTTTCTTTTCCTCTCAGTAGAAAGAAAATAAAATTCTGACGAATGAAAATCCTCGCCGCAAAAGTCAATGATAATGAAATGAAACAGCTATAGTTGTTGGAGATAAAAAAATACATCAGAATATTTACCGTAGAATAAGATGAAGCGCAACTGTATTTTATACTTAACAAGTAATGAAGGTTACCCGCTCTTCTTTTTCTTTTCGGTAAAATGAAAAATGTACTGGATGAAAGAACGAATGATAGATGACGAAAAGGAAAATATCAAACTATTCTTTTTTCATCGCCCATATAATCATACATACAGCATTCTTATTTAAGCATTCAGATCTTGTTCTCTTTTTTTTCTATTCGTATTACATCTATATCTATATCTACATATATTTTTTCTGTGTAAGAAACTGAGAACAAAGGTTCCGGTCACCTTTCTTCGCGCATGATGATAATAAAGCTACGTTTTTAATTAATTGTCGCAAAAGGAAATGAGCAACATTACTTTGGCTTTCTCTTTTGCTCTGTGCTTTTAAAGAAAAGAAAGTTATTACTACTATTAACTTGTCTAGTCCAGGAGAGGAAAAGATCTTTGTTTTTCTTTTACTACATAGGCTTTTATTAATTAGAGAATTTATTTGAAATGATGAACAAAACTGTGACTTCTTATCCTCTAATAAAGAAAAAAAAATAGGAGAGATTGACGTACTTAAGATCTATCATAAAAATTGTTTTTTCATAACTTGGCTCATCGAGGAAACGAAAAAAACTGCATAAAGCGGCACGTTTCTTTTGCTGTTGCATGATTAAGTATAATAAATGCATCCTAAAATAAAATAAAATGATGAACTCAAACTGGTTTTCCTTTTTCGCAACACGCCCTGACATTATCAAGGATAAGACACGCGTTAATATAGGACGTTCTTGTTTGATGAAGTGTATTTCTTTTTTTTAAGCTTGAAGATCTCGATCGATAAGTCTTAAAAAGTATAGACTTTAAAATAAACATCACATTTTTCTCGTCTCCAGTAAACTGAACAACAAAAACAAATATTGAGAGTACCGAGTAAAAATTAAATTTTATTCATGGAAAAATTTACGCCAGATTTATTTTTAGAAAACCTTGAAAATAATATATTTTATGAAAATAAATTTGAAAAAGCTAAATTGCGGACGCAAATAAATCACCTACTAACTACTTTTTGAAAAATGAAATTTTTCATTGAAGAAAAACTAACAACCGTTAGACAAATGCTCTTTTCTTCTCAATTGCGCATGCGTATTTTGAACTGAATATTTTTTTTCACGCCTTTCGACAATTTCATTATTATTAAATATTAAGAGAAATCCACAGAGTGCTTGTAAAACTGCTAATTTCCATTACAGTCCGTTAGCTAAAATTATATAAAAATAATTTCGATCTCTATTATTTCTGCTTTCAAATTTCATAATAAATATTACTAAGAGACTAGAAGAAGAAGAATTAAATAGAAACTGTATCGAATATTCACTAAACTAACAGAAGGATGTATAATGAAATAATGAAACTAATACTAACTTTATGGTAAAGAAACATGAACAGAAAGATTTGCATACTTTCAATAAATCAAAAAATACATAGGAATTAAATGATGACCTTGTGGTTAGTTTCCTTCATGTGTTGAATTCATTCACTAATAATTAAATTGAATGTTTGAATGATTTACTTTCCAAACTATTGTGAACCTGAACATTATTAAAAATAGATTTGAGGAATAATTTGAAACAAATGAACGAAAGGGAAAATTTTTTAAAGCACTCTTTTGAATTATTTTCACCGAAAGAAGGTTTTCTTTTTTCTCTTTTGTCACGTTTTATTGTCATTTAAAAATTCTCGTTTTTACAGAATTGAAATGATAGAAAGTACCGCTAACGTTTTAGCATGTTAAGTGTTTTTAAGTATGCACAAGACGTCAATCGTTAAGCATCGGTCTTGGGGGAGTCAGCTACATTGAAATCGCCAAAAGTAGGTCAGCACTATAGTCTAGAATTTTTATTAAAATTCTCAGGCCTATACTATAATTTCTTGACAGGTATACGATTAACATAAATCAAAAATAGTTTACTTTACAACTTGCAGCTGTCTGCTGCAGTCCTTTAGATGCCACACATACGTGATGTTTCATCTATTCCAATGGCCATACCGAATTGAATTTTATGATGAATTGTTTCTCATCAATCTTCACTTGTTACATGTTGAATAAAAAGAAACGAGGGCAAGTTGACTAACTCGAGAAGCTCATTAATACAGTCATTTATTTATAGAAGTTGGTTTTTATATATTATAATTAAGAAATTATATTCATGGGACAGGCTGCGCTTACAGAAAATCCCCTTAAGATTTTCTATTAAATGAAATAATAACTAATTGACTGCCACGAAGCTCCGCTTACAATTTTTCGATGTGTTTGATGAAAAGAAAACAGAAGAAACACAAAAGATTTCTCGATTATGCTAATTCATTGACGATGAAATTTCCCAGCAATTTTCATATTGCATAAAGAATTGCATTGTTTACGAAAAATCGAATCTCGAAATATCGTTACCTGACATTGATATACATTACAATGATTCTCAAGGGAATAGTCTTGTTTTTGAGAACCACAGGGATTCAGAAGCTAATATCTGGTCTCGAAAAAGTATAAAATAGAAACACCTACAGCAGGCTTTAGATCATCGAAGAAATCTAATTTAATCAAGTTCCTTCTGTCATGAGAAAAAGTTCAAGATTCTAATTAGTTCCGATTCGCTCGAACATGATCATTGCAAAAAATCTCGATTAGCTGAGATTTTTATTTCTAAAGCAAACAACTGCATGCATCCGAATCAAGAGACAACAATTGCTGGTTTCAATCCATTTCAGTTTTGCTGCTATATAAATATTGACTCTTTATTTAAAAAACAAAGAATTAAGTATATAAAGAGAAAGAAGATGTGTCTATAATTATTTTACAATAGATTGAAACGAAATACATCATTACATAGAGTTTTCATCATTTTTATTATCTTCTTTGGGCAAAACAGGCCATTGATATTTAGCATCCGTTGCCATTTGTGTTCCATCCATATCAGCATATTTTCTAGCCAGATTCTGTTTAATAATTAAACCTCGAATGAGTTTTCTCCAATTTTTATAAATTCTTTCGTCTTTTTTCTTGATTTCTTTTTCCAATGTAATTTGTTTTTGTTGTTCAACGGCATCGCGTAGAGCTGGTTCAAATTCTTTACATATAACAATGCCTCCGATAACTGGATGAGATCCACTACCATGCGCATCAAAACCTAATTCAATTTAAAAAATAGTTTCTTTTCAAAAACTGTTCGAACGACTAGTTACCGATGATTGCTTCAGCATAATTAATTCCCAATTTTTTACAAAGACGAGCTGCATTTGGTTCAACAATATGAACACAACCGTTCGGTATCATTTCAGGTTTAAATAGATCAACGTTTCCATATTCATTACACGGCACAATGCCATCTTTTGCTAATGGTGGAACATATTCAGATGTTTGCCATTCACCAAACAATTCAAGTTGAGGTCGTGTCGTCACGCCCATTTTACGATCAAGCTTAAAATAAACAAATAACAATAGATAGAAAAACCATAATTGAAAATAAAGACTAACATTTTTGATTCTTCCTTCGACGAGTTTATATGGTTCTTCGTCGGGATTGACTTGTCGAGCTTCTTTCAGCCATGTTTGTTTCGAACGTAAAATATGAATATTGTCTCGAGAATAGATTGGTTCTTCCTAAAAATAGAATTCTTGATTGTTTCATATTGAAAAAAAAGTACTAGTTTCGGACTAGAACTTTATGTAAATTATTACATTAGGAAATAATTGAGTAGTTTTATATGTTATTACTTCTAACAGCTCATTGAAACCTAGTTTTACATTCTGTAAGAAAAAAAATAAAACTTCATTCAAATTATATTCATTATTGTACTGATCAAAATGAAGATGTATCGAAGTAAATTTGCAATTGTTAAACATGCGTAGTCTCATGATCAACAGGACACAAAATGCATAATGAAGACAGGCGAAACACTGCGCATGTATTATGAAAGTTCATTGAAATCATGAACACTCATCTACAATTGTGTTTTATGGCATATCAAGGTAGTTTGTTTTATTTTGTAATTTTTGCGTTTACCCTTGGCCAGGTTCTTTGAACCAACGCGCTCTAATGTTCACGCTTTAAAAAAAATAAAGCGAACCTCAAAAAAAAGAGAAATGGAGAATTTTCAACAACGACTCTAGCTTTTCAGTCTATATACAACTGAGAATCGGTAAGCCGTTACTATCATTTGTTTTTATCTAGATAACCTTCGATCATATTTATCGCGCGATCGTGATATACCCCTGGTGAAATCTCTTGGGAATCACAATCTATTCTCGTTGCTTGATTGAATTGACTTTCCACGAGTACATGTTTAACGTTGCCTTGTCATCTACTTTATTGTTCTTTCTATTGTGACTATGAATGGTAAACAATTTTGCTCTCCTTGATTTTACTCTCGTACATCCGTGCATTCCTGTCTCGTGATTGCGGTCATCACGATGTACTTTAAGTTTTAACCCTACGAAGAAAGCGTCCTAAGGAAAACTAAAATTGAATTTCTTACTTTAAACCATCCAATGGGTTGTGTTTCATTAGGATAGATGCCTTCAAATTTAAGTAATTTAGACTTGAGTACATACAATGGATGTCCATTTAATTCTGACTTTGTTTGCGGAATCGGTTGTCGAGCTAATTGATCTTGTTAAAATAAGAATAAATAAATTCAATTCAATTCGAAAATAGATGAACAAACTTTCAATTTGTTTATTTTCAACTTGAGAATATTCGGATTTTCTTTTATCTTTTGGTTGATATTTTTTCATGCATTTTCCATACCATTTCGGATCACCATTTGTTTTATGTTCAATATGTGATGTACGATAAGGTGTTGTTAACCATTTCTGTGAATATCGTTTTGTTACATCTTTAGCATATGAACTCGATTGATCAATATCAAATGCCCATACATAAAGCATGGGAAATTTAATATTAACTTCAAATTCTGTTAGAGAATTTATTTTCGATGTGTAGATATCAATGGGAATATAACCATCGTCTGTTGTTTGAATAAAAATTTCAATCCAATAATATCGAGGTTTTAACGGACGTATTTTTTTGGTCGACTTTTTCGAATCTGTTATTGTCGGTGAAATAGCTTGATGATTTTTAACAAGTTCGAATGACGCTGTATCAGACGAATGAATACTTGATGTATCTTCATTCATTGTACCATTACTGTTGTCATCGTCGGAGAGTGTTGGCGGATTTTTCTTACGAGTTTTTTTCACATCACCTGATGTGCCGTCATTTTTCATTCGTGGTCGGATCGGTGGTAAATCAGCAGCAAATACTAATCGACATTCATACTGAAGAAGACGAGCGTAGATAGCAAAAAGAATAATTCGAATAGGCGAGAAAGTTTTCGTAGCATGTTCACTCAAAGCTAGACGTATATTTTCGATTGTTACCGGTTGCTCGTCGTTTGTTGATTCGTCGATCGAAAGAAAAATTTCATTAAAATGTTCAACAAGACGATGAATGTCATTCATACTAGTTGTCTTGTCATTGTAGATAAGTGTTTCGGTAGTGGATTCGTCAAGTAATGAAAGCATAAGTGAACTTAATTCTTGATTGTTTATGAAAGTTTTTATTAAATCGAAACCATGCGCAAGATTACAAACGATATTATCTTTATGTTTTTGTTGACAGTTTTGTTTTAATACACGTTTTAAATGAAGTTCTAATAGATGTTCTTTTGAATTGAGATTCTTTTTACGTTTACTTTGGGCCGCTGCAACTTCATCACTGGTTAAACTGACTTCAACTTCACCATTAATTAGAGTGGATTGTCTTTCTTCACGTTCTTTAAGTAACTAGAAGAAGATAATTTTTGTTGCAAAGATTTATTGAATATTTGTAATTTGTTACTTTTTGAATAACAGCTTCTTCGCTAGGTTTTGCATCGACATTTTCCCATCCATCCTCATCATCATCATCATCATCATCGGAATCTGTGTTGTTTTCATTGCTTGCCGTTCTTTCTAATTGAAAAATTGAATGAAAATATATATTTGATATTAAAAGCGATTTACTTTTGACTGTTTGACTAGTAG